CAGTAACCATTCCAGCTTTGGTGTCACAGACAGTTCTGCGATATTGTTGAGTTTTTACCAAAGCTAAATACAAGGCGTTCACGAAAAAGTATACCCAACTTCAAAGCCAGGATACCAGAGTTCTGAGCAATTTTTTAAAAATTCAAAGGTGGCAGTATAAGGCACAGTTTGTCCTTCATCGAATGGTACCTAGGTCATTATGTAACTGTCATGGATGACTGAGCAATCTTTACTTTTATGAAAGGTGATAAAATCATCATTGTGCCAAGTTAGCATTCAAGTAGGATTGACAAAATGAATGTTTTTTGTGTTCAAAACATTATTAATGTTCCATGATCTTCAATCGTTTTGCATACTTTTCCATAACTTTTTATTGCTATTTCCCTCTCGGGAAATTGGATCACTAGAGCCTGAACTCCTGAGCCTGAGCTCCTGAACAGCATGATGAAGTCAATTGTATCCCCCATTTAAGTCAAGGTACCCTTGCTGAAATCCTCATTTTCCCAGAAGAACTCAAGTTGACTGAGTCTAAATAAGTAGATCCATGTGGGACAGTATTATATAGCTAGAATCCATTTTCAATAGTAAGAATATGGGTGCTTAAACAGTACACTGGACTTGCTCTTAAAAACTTTTTGTTGGCTCTTCTGCTCAGGTGTCAGTTGAACCATGTTTGCAGGCCTATTTAAGAGTAAGTTAAGCTTTTTTGCCAAACCTTTTTTCATAAGAGAGTTACTTAGACACCAGTCTAGTTCATTATGAAAGCCCCGTCCTCTAACATTACATAATGTAACAGTCATGATTGGTCAGTCATAGGTGACAGTTACATAATGATCTAGGAACCATTTGATGGAGGACAAATAAGACTTTTTGCTGTCACCTTTGTATTTCAAAAACATTGCTCAGAATTCTAGTAATTTGGTTTTGAAGTTGGGTATACTTTTCTGTGGACGCCCTGTATAACGACAATGACAAAATGAATGACAATTGAAATTAACGTTCATCTTCGCAGCTTGATTCTCAAAAACGGAAACAAAATGCGTGTTTTGTTTTTCTCAGTGAGAATGCCTGCCAGTGCCAATGTCACCATATACTAGGAAGTCCGGGTTTATCAGTACCATTAGGCTTGATGAATAAAACATATTGAATGTAAATAGGGAAATTGCGACGAGGAATGATTAGCTATGATAATACAAAATGATTTACGAGGCGTTGATAAATGAAGGTCATATCAGTACTTCTAAATCACTTGGAGCTGGATCCTAGAATGTAACAATACTTTAAATAAAGATGACCGGGACACATGAATTATAGCGGATGTATTTGCAAACAGAAGTGGGATCATTCGCCATTTGTAATGCGGATTATGACTCATATAGAAGATGGCAGATCATTTCTGCGTATACATTTACTTCCGGTCCAATTGGTTTGTTTGTACCAGGACGGTCAAAAAATTCATGCAAAATGCTTGAAGATTATTTTATTATTTTTCAATGTTTCACAAAATTTGGATGCATTCAAACACAAAAATAGTTACTCTCCTCTGATTGGACGATAGTGGGTTCTATGGAAATTCATGTTTTGGTCATTCGGGGCAATGATTCTTCTGCTCTCTGGGCAATATTTTCTGATACTGCAAGGATTCATATCAAGTGGTTTTCGCTTTTATGACTCTAATCAATCTTGTAATAAGAGACTTGAAAGAAGATTGCATATTTATTTCCTAGTCGACTCGATAATGATTTTTACAATGATGCTATTATTTCTCTTTGACGAACACATGTAACACTATCGGTATTTTAGTACTATTTTCCCGAAAAACCGTATTCACATTGGCCGTTCTCCTATTGGAAACGAATGCACCCATTCGTTTTTGTTTTTCATTTTCTGACGTTTTTATTCAATGCACGAATATAGTATGATATAGCGATATTAATTTAACTAATTTAGCTACTTATATTTTCTAAGATCATCATGTGATATTTGAGAATGACACACAACTTAGATCATTAAATCATGGCATAAAATACACGGGAACTCCAAATACTGGAATACACAGAACAACGTGAAATTCTACTTGGTACTTGGATATGATTCAATCCCTCTCGGTGAATAATCTCAATATATACCGCGATCAAACACTAGCAGGTGTTTATCTCAAAATTCATTTTTTATCTACGTGAGAAAGTGTGCAGTGGATACTATTATTTTTATTACAGATTTTAATTGCAGTCGTAAATCATAAGTGGATGCCAGATTAATTACCAGTGAATAACAGTTTGATAAGAAAAATGTTACCAATAAGATTAGAATATGATCCTTTGCCCTTTCTTAGTAATCCAATTTTCCTGCAGTATTGTACTCTTGAGCTATTGGGAATTTTTGAATTACAGAGATGGCCCCTTGAAACATTAAAAACTTTTCTCTTGGCCTTAAATAATTCATTATTTAATATCTAATTTGGGGTATTCTTGCAATTCTAAAGCTAAAAGTAAACGAAGAAATAATGGTATTATACAAAATGAAACAGATTAGAAAAACGCAGTTGAAAACTGATTTGAGAAACATGGTACCGTAGACTACAGATGATATGCTGTGGGAATTTTCTTTGATTAAACTGTTATTTTAAGAGAAACACTTGAATCGTTCACTTGAGATATATCTATATTGCGACCTGCTTTACTTATTTATACAGATACAAGAATGTTGTGCAATCGTTGGCTTCTTTGAACCGGGAACCATTGCAATCTGGCATAATGAATGAACGTAGGCCTGAACAACACTGTAAGTGGCGGTTCAAAAACAATATACGACTCAATATGGCTTCAATGTCAGTATGATTGTCTCGCACATTTATCCCCTTTAGCCTACAGGTATGTAGAAAGGTAGTAGGGAGGTTAAATTACACGTTTTAATAGTACGCGTGAACGTGTAGAATTGTGGTTATAATGGATTCGTTCTCTCCTTGTGATAGTAATAACTTGTCCAATTGAGTATAAAGATATAAGGAAAATAGGTGTCATTAGGTTACTGGAAAAAAACCAATTGATGAGAGGAAACAGTAATCAACGTATTACGCGTGAACGTGTAGGATTGTGGTTATAATGGATTCGTCCTCTCCTTGTGGTAGTAACAACTTGTCCAATTGAGTATAAAGATATAAGGAAAATAGGTGTCATTGGGTTACTGGAAAAAAACCAATTGATGAGAGGAAACAGTAATAATCAACGTATTACGCGTGAACGTGTAGGATTGTGGTTATAATGGATTCGTCCTCTCCTTGTGGTAGTAACAACTTGTCCAATTGAGTATAAAGATATAAGGAAAATAGGTGTCATTGGGTTACTGGAAAAAAAACAATTGATGAGAGGAAACACTAATCAACGTATTACGCGTGAACGTGTAGAATTGTGGTTATAATGGATTCGTCCTCTCCTTGTGGTAGTAATAACTTGTCAAATTGAGTATAAAGATATAAGAAAGATAGGTGTCATTAGGTTACTGGAAAAAAAACAATTGATGAGAGGAAACAGTAATCAACGTATTACGCGTGAACGTGTAGGATTGTGGTTATAATGGATTCGTCCTCTCCTTGTGGTAGTAACAACTTGTCCAATTGAGTATAAAGATATAAGGAAAATAGGTGTCATTGGGTTACTGGAAAAAAAACAATTGATGAGAGGAAACACTAATCAACGTATTACGCGTGAACGTGTAGAATTGTGGTTATAATGGATTCGTCCTCTCCTTGTGGTAGTAATAACTTGTCAAATTGAGTATAAAGATATAAGAAAGATAGGTGTCATGAGGTTACTGGAAAAAAAACAATTGATGAGAGGAAACAGTAATCAACGTATTACGCGTGAACGTGTAGGATTGTGGTTATAATGGATTCGTCCTCTCCTTGTGGTAGTAATAACTTGTCAAATTGAGTATAAAGATATAAGAAAGATAGGTGTCATTAGGTTACTGGAAAAAAACAATTGATGAGAGGAAACAGTAATCAACGTTTTACACGTCCACGTACAATTTCTATCAAAACGTTTCACTTAACAGCCCTATTGTCTTGGACAGGACTGCTTTGAACAGTATTGCTTTGGACAACTTTGACTTAAACAGCATTACCTTTAACAACCTTACTGTGCCGACTGTCAGGCTCCAGTGAGACGTAAAGTAGAATCATCTTTATTACATTGACTCCCGGAGGAGAAGAGAATGATAAAATACTGCAACTTAAAATAATCAAAACCCAATGGGGAATTTAACTTTTTCACATCGCCTTGATGAAACGGACTGGAACTACAGTGGCTTTCATCAGTTTAGATTTTAGATATAGATTTTTCATCTTTAGACTACTACTAAGTATATTAGCAAACATCGATCATTTAATTAGCGTCATTGTTTTCATTCTGTAACTGTCACGAAAATCAGATTGCTAATCTACAAATTCGTTTTTAAACCCCGAGCCAAATAGTTTTTTGACAGTAGGGAAACCAAATGACAAAGGGTAATGGAATATAAAGTATGATATTCAGTGCATGCTATGGAGAATGACTATCGTTAAGAATATGATGGAACAACCTCAAAATACCTCACAGTAGAAGATAGACAAAAAAGTTGACAGTATATAAGCGTTGTTGGCCGCTCCCTTGTCTCGATTACAACAGCAGTAAGCATTGTTGCATGGCCACTCATCTGTCTTCATTAAACCAACAGCATTTCTATGACAGAAAGCGTTGTAGGCCACTCACGTGCACGTTTCTATGACAATAAGTATTGTTTGCCACTCACCTGTCTCTCAATTAGAAATGCTAGCCTTTAATGCATATTGCGCTAGGACAGCACTTTATGAATACTAAGATAATGGACTAAACTCAACTTTATCGATGACATCAGCAGTCATCAAGCGTTATATGACTGACTCACACGTTTCAGTATGACAGTGAGCTTTGTAGGCCATTCACCCGTTTCTATGACAATAAATATTGTTTGCAACTCACCTGTCTCGATGACACCAGCACCAACAAGTGCAACGACTGCAGTAAGAGTTCTCCTGAGTGCCTCCATCGTGTTCATAGTAGTTTTTCCTGCTTCGGTTATGCCACAGTGGTCCACAGCTGTCTGATCCTGTGATTCTGCCACAAATTTTACTCCTGAATTCACATCCTAATTAATTCACATCGTGCCATTTGGTGGCTTTGTTTACTAGATAAGGCTACCAGTTGCTCATAAAGAACTGCAATTGTAAATATACCCCTTATCCTAGTTGTGATAACTACTGTAGTTTTGCAATTACATCGATATGTTTTATCAAGCTGGTTCCAGTAAGTGGTTACTCATGTTCAATCCAACCTAGTCACCTACACGTTTAAATATCTCTTTTAAAATGAACTGTTGGTTGCTTTTTATTCAAGTGATGTCGATCGATACGGAGACGAGCTTAGGATTTTTCTATCTCTGAGATGCACTACTCAACAGAATGACAGAATTCAAAAACTTCAATTAATAAAGTTGTTCTCGTGTACTTTCAACACCAAAGTAAATACAACTGAAACAAAATCAAACATTACAACATTTTTTTCTTCACCATTCGTTTCATCATCCGTGTGTATAGTCAAAGATAACTTGATAACGTCCCCCATAAGCGACTGCTGTCACATCTGCCTCATTGATTAATGGCGATCACCGTCGATGTTGTGAGCGTATCTGAAATATTCTCTCGTGCCTGATGTTGTTGAATTGTTAACACTGCAATGTACATGATGCCGATAATTGAATCATTATAAAATAAAATTCACGTCTCACAAGTATCCCTCCCACGCCTGTTACGATCGATGCATTATCGGTTATCGCCTTCTGGGACAGACTTAATTTGATTTTATTCGATAGATGTCACAACTATTTTGTCAAAGATATGTTTTTCCTGGAATAATACATAACATTAATTTCAAAAGATTACTAGTGAGCTTAGTTTTTTATAAAATAATATTTCCAAATTGTGAACACCTCAGTATTGTCAACACATGATTAAAGTAACACCTCAGAAAAGTAAACATCTCAGTAAAGTAAACGCCTAAGTACTACAGTAAAGTAAATACATCAGTAATGAACACCCCGGTAACTATGTAACTATCGTATTCATAAAAGGAACACTTCAGTAATGGGAACACCTCAGAAACACTTATGTATTGCATTACGTAAGTGCAACATCTCAGTTATGTAAACACCTTATTCGTAAAAGGAACACCTCATTGATGGGAACACCTCAGTAATGTATCGCATAACTTAGGTGCAACATCTAACTTATGTGTATGTAAAGTTTGTAAACACCTAATTCGTAAAAGGGACAACCCAGTGATGGGAACACCTCAGTATTGTATGGCATTACTTAAGTGAAACATATCAGTTATGTAAACGCCTTAATTCGTAAAAGGAACACCTCAGTGAAAAGAACACCTCAGTAATACGTATGTCATTACTTAAGAGAAACATCTCAGTTATGTAAACACCTCATTCGCAAAAAGAACACCTCAGTGATGGTAACACCACAGTAATGTATGGCATGAATTAAGTAAACATGTAGTTTACATGTGCTAGGTGCTGTTGACCGTTACAAGGTACTGTCGAAAAAAACATCAACAATTTTAAAGGATTGCATTTAAAAAAAATTAATGAAAAGTATCATTTGCAGTACAGCTGGAAAAAGTACAAACCATCAAGTATCACTTTGTAAAAAAGATATGACATCTTGATCCTCATACCAAATATATCTTTACGTTAGATTCTAAATATATCCTTGCAACCATATTAAACCCCTCCTCTGGTCTCAGTCTACAGTACTTTCAATAGGTTTACATCATCAGTCTACAATTTTGCCAGTTGACCTCAAGAGAAGTCTACAAGACATCCGGGCAAAGTGTGGTGATAGTCGGGACAGGCTGGTTTTAACTTTTATAGGTATTCTGCTTTTAGTGCTGAGTTAACTGCCATCTTTGGAAAGATAAATTATCTTTCTATAAAACACACGTCAAGTATGCCACGAAATGGGGTTCTACGCATCCTAAATCCCGTTAAAATGGAAATAAAAACACCTCGAATCGAATTGCGAGATTTCAAATCACAGACATGCAAGTATGTACATGCAAGCATGCGTTTACTTTATCAAACGTTAAAAATATGAGGTTTATCCATGCTACTGTCCATGGCATGCGTCTTCTTCATAAGATTTCCATTTCTGGACAGATAGGCTTTTGGGGAACCAATATACAAAGGTGAATTGTCTTATGACGCTTTCATAAATTATTCAAATGACGTCAAATTATTCCAAGGAAAAACATACATTGTTTAGAACTTACCTGGAAACAAGAAACAGTCAAAATGTAAGGCCAAAGATTTTGCCCACTGGAACGTTGTCCAGAGAGAAAGACGGGATCTGTCGTTATTTAGTGAATTTGAAGATGGGCGTCAAGATCAGCAAGATTTTAAGAAGAAGAAAGGGTGATTTTCAGGAATCAAAGAAAGATTTTCGAAGGAACGTAGTTGAGGATATCGACACACGAAATAAAATATTGAAAATCGACCCAGTCAGTAATTTGAACAGAAGAGGCAATCTAGAGCTTTTTGAAAATATCCCCGAGTTTTTGAAGCAATATGTGAATAAAACCATTCGTATTGAAATCTACAGATTCAAACGACTTGATAAAGATTGCAGTAAATGGCCAAAATTTGAGAGATCGTGTGATACACTTAGGTGCTTATATTTAGACATTGAACATTTTAAACCATTGATTATTCTCAAAGATGGCGTGAGAACTATGGTTTCTAAGGAGATGGTAGGGTTTTCCTTGTATGAGCATCATGGAACTAGGAAAGCAAGACAACACATTAAGCTTGTAAAGATGGAACCAGTTGACGTCGTCTGTCATAAAGATGTAAACGCAATTCTTCTCATAGGTAATTGTACGATGTACATTGCAATAAATTATGTGCTGTTTTTTGCCAAGTTTTTCAAGTTGTGCTTAACACAAATTTTTGATATCGAATTTTAAATGGGTTGAAGTCTATCTTTGCTCGTTTGTCACCTGGACGGTGTCGCATTGGAACCAATGTCCATAGCCAATTTCAATGGTATTGAGCACCGAACACTGTGACTCAGCGATGTTTCCTATGTTACACTTTGAATGTCCAAGCTCATTTGTCAGACCGAATCGATATCTAGAAACAGTACATATAAAAATGGTTGTAGAGCTTTGGTGTATATAATTCCCCAGGAAACTCGTAATTTTTTGTATATACTACTCTGTCAAGAGTATTGAGCGATACAAAACAGTGCATTCTCATCATCTTCTTACATCTGTCCAATTCAGGTGGTTCCTTTTATTTCCATTTGGGGCCTCGCAAGGATGATACAACGTCTCAACAGAACTCAGTTCGTAGAAGCACACCCTGTAGCAAGATGACAGGGACATATACCCGGATGGTGGAGGAAAATCATGACGTCAGAGTATGGTGGACACTTGACGTGTATCCGGCTAGTCGCAGACGAGTGGATAAAGCTACCAAGAGACTTGAACAATACAGGATTGCAATGCCAGCTACTGTGATGACATCATTGGATGATGATTGCAAAGTAATCGCACTTGAGAGATCGAAATGTACAAAACTTTGTTTTACAGTGGTTCCTCATGATCACCATATTGGCTTGCTTTGAAAGTCGACATCGAAACGGATGGATCTACAATATCACTGGTTAGTATCAAGCGAAGGTAACGGTCGTTACCTTCGCATTTAAGATGGCGGTTGGTAAATGTCGATATCGATACTTTGAAGTTTCCACTGAATTAAACTACTATAGTTGACGTTATGCTTTGATATTTAAATTGAATCAAGCTTATATGATATGGTAACTCTGGAGTACGATCATTTGTGCGTGGTCAACACGATTCAACGATATCTTTGACCGCTTAAGGGAAGGTAACTGGGATTTTGGCTCACAGATCATATATTTTCAGTTATTACCTTCCGTTTAGCGGTGAAAGATATCGTGGCGCCTACGCACAGCATATGAACAATTGATCAAACTCGACAGAGTTTTCATGTCATATAAGCCTGATTTAGTTCAAATGTCAAAAGGCAGAGCATTACGTCAACTATAAAGTAAGCTAGTTTAATTCAATGAAAAATGAAAATATCGAAATCGACACTTAGAGTCCGCCAACTTAAATGCAGCCGTTACATTCGCTTGATACTGATCAGTGAATATGATAATATAGTTGTCGTAAACAACATCTAGATGGAGGTTAACTATCTGCTAATAATTGCATGTCACTAATATCAACTATAATAGTTAGTAGCAAATATACTACTATAAGTTATTATCAACTATTACAGTTGACTCACTTGCATCATTCCCAGCTAGTACACGTATTTAACAAAATAACAATTCATGTGAGAATATAAAGTTTAATTATTTCATGTATTTTCTAGTATTTATTATTATCTACCGAAACGTTATTTGAAATTTAACCGATGTACGCTACGTTATTTAGATTTAACTGATGTCTATATATTATTACAAAATGATAATAATCTACTGACACGGGATGACACAATGGATAATGCACTCATTTTGAATATACAGGAACTACAAAAAAGGCTTGTTCTTCAATTTCCTCCATTCATTTAGGAACATTGTCAACATTATATTAATACACTATGAGATGATTCAAAGATTAAACTGCTATTTTCAGGTTTTAATATTTTAAATCCTTGTTATCATTCATTAAAAACATATTTGTAAACGTCAGTTTAGTCAACATTATAGTTGACTGTCGACTTCAAACTACTTGTGGTTAAGTATTTGAAGAGCTATCTTTGTTACAAAAATACGTCTAAATAAATGTTATTCCATTTCTAGTCACTGTACTAATAGTATGATATAGCTCCTATAATAGTATTTCATTATTTATGATAAAAGCATCAACTACTTCTTTTTCTTTTTATCCTTATCGTTTTTCTTTTTGTTTTCCTTTCCCTTATCATCTTCTTTATCGTCTTCCGGTTCATCTGGTGGATTTACCTGCCACAACCGTTTCTCTTCCATACCCCATAGTAACGGTTTCCTTAGGGACTCCCTAGCAACAGTGATAAGGTCATCCCATCCTTTGATATATCGCGCCGCGAGGTTTCCAAACGGGGACGCTGGGTCGATGATAAAAGGGCTGAAAATGTTCACAATAGCTTGTAACAGAAATCTCTGGACATCACTCAGATCGTGTCGGAAATATTTTATATTTTTCGTCCACTGTTAATTTTGTATTCATTGCATAATATTTCAGATTTTAGATACATGATTCTATGCATTTATGGAGAAACTTGACTTGACATAATTTAACATCAATCAAATTAGCTGGTCACATATATCTGCATACGTTACGTTAAACTGATCGAAATTAAATAGATTTATATTGATCGAAACTTACATCCTTGTATTTTTGGGAGTAAATTGTTCATATTTTGAGAAATCGTAGTTTTGGTTCCATATAGCTTGCGTCATCTGTGGCATCATGAGTTTCCGAAGAAAACCATAAAATCCAATCAACATATCGAAGCTAGGGGGCGCTCCAACCCTTTCCCAGATATTCAAAACGAGTAGTTCGATAACGTAGGCATTGGGTAAATTCTTTTTAGTCTCTTCCTAAAAAGAATGAGAATAAAATGTTAATTTTAGTTGACATGTTCTTAATATAAAAATACCACAATTATTGACAAGTAGATTCATGTTGGATAGTATTGCTAGACTCCTTTTTCAATGGTAAAAATAGGGGTTCTTACACATGGCATTGGGCTCGCTTTTAGAACTTTTTGTTGACTCTAAAAGGCACAACGACTAGAAATAATTAATCTTGGTCCCATTGTAGTCGCACTATGCGCTAGCAAGGTGTGACCGACAAATTGACAATGTAACTGTGTCTAAAGTGAAGGTGACCTTAATCACAGAAACAAATGATATTGTAGTAATAAAGTCGAACGACAGTACTTACTCTAAAACATGTATGAATCCAGTGTTTGACAAGTCGGATGAGATTGTTAACTGCGTGTGCTGGCGGACGGAACTGGATGAATTTAGTCTGTAACTGGGATACCACTGGCCAGTAAACCTGCCTCCCCGCCTCGTCTAAAGTCTTCATGTCTTTGTACATACTATCCTTATATACTGGAACGTACATTGTAAAAACATATATAGAAAAACATATATAATATATATGACATAGGCGTAGCCAGTGTGGGGGCACCCCCCTCCCCCCTGACTGATAGCTGGCTACGCCCCTGTATTATTAGTCTGCTGTATGTATGTATGTATGTATGTATGTAACAAGCTTGGTTGCTTTATTCGATAGTTCCATCGTTTTATTAATGCCCTCGAAATGCCATGTGCGCCTAAGGGTATAGGAGAGTCAAATCATGCAATCTAAACAGTTCCCAAAAGGGGCAGCGTTTCTAGTAATTATGGGAATTTAAGATTGTACACCCCCTTGTCATTTTCGAATTTATGTTAACAGCTTTTCTTGAAATCAAATTGATGTTAAGAGTATGATATAGCAAGAATGCAATCATATTGATCAATACGATATGCATTACGGACCATAAAGTTGCCTCGAGTATTTTAAATCGTGACTTCACCCCTATACATAAATGGTGAGTCACCATCCCTTATGTAGTCGGTATAATCAAATGCAACTTTAACACAATATGGTCGAATGTGGTCGTACTTACATTTTGTAGGGTTGTCACCTTTGAGGACATCGTGACACGGGAAGATTAAGATTCTGTGGAATTTATCTCTGTGATCGGAGCACCTTAGCGTGAATCTCACAGAAAATTCAGTGTTCTTTTCCATTAGTAAATTACCATCCACTATCCAATTTGTCTTTTTCATATGAAATTCTACCTGTTGTAATATTTCGTTGAGTTTGTAACGACAGTCAGCCATTGATTTGAAGTCATAGAGAAATAATACAAGTTGGTATTCCTCCACCTCGCCCCGTACGTCTGCTCCGCGAAGATGGGCCCCAGACTGAAAATAGAGATACACAATTTATGGCAGATAGAAATTTAAAATCTGGAAAATCCAGTGTGATTTTTAGAGAAGTAGGAAATTCAAAATCCAATGACAGAATTCCAGAAAAAAGGTTACGTTAAATTCATTTTTGTGTGTCAACTAGAGAACAGGTCATTTTTTACTTATTGATCTAAATAATATCGACCTTTTCGAATACTACCCTCGAGATACAGACAATAAAGCACTCCATTCTTGAGATTTCTAGGTAGACATGCCTGACTTTAATCTAAAAATCTTCAGCCAGCATTTTCTAAAGAGGATTTAATCTATCAATGTAAAACATTACATGATCCACAATTATCTTCCTCGATCAACCTAACAGAATAACGCAGATGCGAGTAGGCAGTTACCAGTTTCACCACCAGGTGGCTCGTTCGGGTCAGATAGCATGGCGGGTATAGTAGAAAGTTCCCTTTAACTTAAATTGCATCTATTTGCGTGGTTCAATTTTCATATAACCCTTATGTATCTAATAGTTATGCAAATTAAAATATGTTCAGGAAAAGAAAATGTTATCTGTCCAATACAAGAGATGATAATTCACTTTTTGTGATTTTGTAACATGGGGTCTATGGGGAATCAACCCGAACAAGAAGTCACATTTTTAAAAAAATTAAATTTTCAAAGTTGATAGACAATTTTCGAAACCATATTTCTAGATGCACTTTTACATGCAGATTTCAAATATGAGATCACTTTGACTGAACTTTGAATATTTAATGACGTAAATCAAGATTATTTCTACTCGCACCTAGTCTATTCGGCTAAGCTGAAAGGACCGACCAAAAGTTTTAAGGATGTTCCCTGGACGAAGTTGAAAACGATGAACACCAACCCCTAATTTTTCTTTTCAAAATGTGAAGTACATAGCATAACTAAGTGTTTCTGTGAGTTTAAGAAAAAGTTAAATATTCAAAAGTGTGTTTTGGGGTGAAAACCTGATTTTTAACATGGGTTTCAATGAGAAAGTGCCACGCCCACTTTTGTCAAATATTGACACTTTAGAGGCCTCTTGCTCAGAAAAAAGCACACTAACATATGGTTTTTAAAGTTTTAATATTCTTTGTTGCCCGTGAGAATCCCAGAAAACCATTTTTGAGAAAAAGTTAAATACTATTGAATATTTTCCTATCTGACCAGGGAACATCCTTAAAATGATCAGGGGTTGAAGCTTTACATGGGGCCTTTATTAATATCACCAAGCCTTATATAAAATAGCTACGAAAAAGATGACAAGCCGACCTCTAAAACACGTACGTGTGAATAAACCTTTATTCTGCCGCTTTTGCGAAATCACAGCGTTACATCGTAAAATTGAAATATTTGAAAACAAATCAAAGGTCAATTTTTACTTTAAATTTTAAGTTTAAAATAACTAACAAGAAATGAAAATGAAAAAATAAAAATACTTTGCTAAGGGCAATTAAATAAAACTGTAATGCGAAACGTTTTGTCGCGTTATTGTGTACAATGTGTAGGCGTTGTAAGGTATGACTAAAAGAATACTTATTTATTTCTCTTACGAACAAAATTACAGAATTTGTATAACGCGTGACGTCATGATGAGCACAGTAATTCAAATTATGTGACTTATTTCTTCATCCAAGTACAGATAGACTATTATCTATTTATCTAATATACCTATCAACCCAGGATGGGGACGCCTAATTTTGGTAAAGCGCCTGAACATGTATATCATGACATACTCCAAAGACATTTATCAAGGATTTCGCGCAATTTATTTCTTATTTCTGGACACCTAATTGGTTGCAGGTCGAACGTCGTATGTGCAGGTCGGAGGTCGAAGGGTTTTGAATACATTCCTAATTTAGGAGCGTTTTTTATCTTAGACAAAGTTAACGACCCCATGGCAGGGCTTATTCAATCATTCTTTCGCAGGAATTAAGAAGGAATCCAGTACTGATCCAATACGAATCCGAAGTCATTTAAAACGGTGCAGTTATGCATACTATTATTTCAAAACCCTGCGTCTCCGTTTGTATTATTTTTTGAAATAAAGCGCCAGACCAAATCATCTGAAGCGCTTTACTAGGAAATATTTTAAAATTTCGAGCTCTCGTTTGAAATTTACACGAATCTCCAATTTATCATATATTTTTGCCTAACTATGTTCATGTGTACCTAACCGGTTTCACACGAGGAAAATGTACGTTAACAGAAGTAAATGATATATCGAAGAGACATAAAAAATCTGGACATGTCTGCTTTTCTGGTAATTCTCTGGTATAGGAAAATATAAAGGAAAAATTATGTCATTTTAATCATCCCTGGTGTATCTACATATTTAAATGATTTCCCCCGTGATACAACGAGATTTGAAACTGATCAGCTGATGGTAACACGATAGCATATCTAAATAATTCAGCAATTAATAAATCTTTCCAATATAGGAATGTTGATCAATTGTAGTATAAGACTCATTAAAGTTAGCTATATCATAATAATTGAATCACTCTGCTTCGTGGTTAATGTCAATTTAATTGAATCGCTAAGGAAATGGCAATTCAGGTATTAAACCGGTAATTACTCTTGTGAAGAGAATTACATCTCTTCATTAAACACAGTAGTGACGCAATTCAGGCAGGAAATGTACCCGTATCTAAGATAAATGACGATCCTAAAAAAACAAACTGACAAAATGGATTGGAAACTGCAAAATACAAATGAAACAAAATAGTTTAAATGACTTTAACAAATTGAAGGTATTGACAATGTAAAAGATTATGATACAATGATTTCGACGAAACGTCGTGTAAAAAGTACTGATCTGCGTAACATTTCAAGTATGAGATAGATCCGTTACTGGGTGATTCTGACGTATGTGATCCCTGTCTATGTTACAGGCCTAATTATATCACACTATTTTCATCATATCATTGTTAAAATCCCTCTGTTATTTATACCTTATTGTATCTTGTTATGCACGCATTCCCAACGAGGGGAGGGTAAGATATTTGATACACAATATCGCCTCCAGGGGTAGGGATTTGACGAAGATTTTCTTCCCGGGGGTGAGGAATTTGATATGTGCCCGGGTACGGGGATTTTTGACTGAATCTGTTTCGTCAACTTTAAAAAACACGGCTCTTTATGTAATGTTGACTGATTGACACCAATTTAATGCGAAAATAATATTAATTTACATATATTTTCATGTAACTGTTTTTGTTAACATTTTTTGTTTTTTAGTGCAATTGTTTTTTGTTCCGTTCTACCATTAAAATATCTTTCTGAAGCTTGTTGGAACAAAATTGCATATACAACATTTTCTTAGACATCTCAATATTATATACAAAGGAAATTTTGCTTGATTTAAGAAAAAGTATTCAAAACAAAAAAAACCAAAATAGATGAAAATTAAGATTAATGTTTTATTTCATCAACAAGATACTTTTTTGAATCAACCACATTTTCCTTTGTACAATTACACCCTATGCAGACAGAGCCTGTGGGAAATATTGGATGCGGCGCAAATGAGCGGAGGGTGCGGAGCTAACGGTCATTTTTGAATTTAAAATTGGGATATTTCTGAAACTAAGCCGTTTTGGGACTTCAAATATACCAAGAAATGTGTATTTGACACCAAATATCAACAAAATTGTGAAAATAGTAGTGCAATTCATTTTATGGCGACGCAGTATGCCTTAAACATTTCCCAGACCTATATATTTTGAGACTATCCTTTTAATACTGCGTCCCCAGCATTCATAAATAATGGTGTTCAAGATACACTACCCATGCAAATTATTTTTGCATCTTGGAAGCCAGGCAGTATCTGTGTGATTTTATAAAAATTCGGAAATGTTCTTCAGATATGAGCCCCCTCTAAATATTGGGTGCGGAGGTACGTTTATGGAGCTCCTCCGCACCCAATATTTAGAGGGGGCTCATATCTGAAAAACATTTCCGAATTTTTATAAAATCACACAGATACTGCCTGGCTTCCAAGATGCAAAAATAATTTGTATAGATAGTGTACCTTGAACACCATTTTTTATGAATGCTGGGGACTCAGTATTAAAAAGGATAATTTCAAAGTATATAGATCTGGGAAAGGTTTAAGGCACACTGCGTCGCTATAGAATGAATTGCGCTACTATTTTCACAATTGTATTGATATTTGGTGTCAAATACACATATCTTGGTATATTTGAAGTCCCAAAACGGCTTAGTTTCAGAAATATCCCAAATTTAAATTCAAAAATGACCGTTAGCTCCGCACTCTCCGCTCATTTGCTCCGCACCCAATATTTCCCACAGACTCTGTCTGCATAGGGTGAATTACAATATTGAGAGACCTATACACGTTGCGTCAATTTCTTCCAATGAGGTTCGGGTAGATGTTTCATTTCATTCCGAACGTATGATACTAAGAACAAAAGAAGTGTCTGATGTGTTTTCTAAAACAACATACAGAAAGGTATATATTATATTGATTCGAAATTATATTGTTACCATTCAAAAGATGACCATTAAATTGACAATGTGTAAAATTTAAGAATTGTTTGATGACTGGTTTAAGAGAAACGTACGTTCAAAAAGTTCACCATATCGATACCCATCCTTTCAATGCATCCCCATACCAACCAAAATAACGCCCAAAGCCATTCCAAATGTCTTAATACTATTGTATAAGACCAATGCCATACCAAATGTCCAAATAGAGGACCAATGTCATACCAAATATCCATATATACACTCCCTCCATAAGTTTGGCAACCCTAGCTCCCCCATTGAACTACGTGTCAAAGCCTCTTTACATTTGAATTTTTATTTACTTAACCGGAGATGAAATAAATTATAATATTAATGCCGGAAACGTAACTTGACTTTATTTCCAATACCTCCAAATTTTCTCAATTTTTTCCTCAATAACAATAGGTCGAAAATTGATGATAAATTCGATGAATTTTTGAAAATCGTCATTCCCATGTAATCCAATGGGAAATGGTAGGTTTGCCACAAGTCATATGACAAGCATTTAGCAATAACTATGTATAATCTGCACAGTGTGTATTCATATGTACTGCTTCATAAAATATAGGTCCTCTAGAACTTAGAACATGCTCAAAATGTTCTCTTGGCTGTCACGTTCTACAATTAGAACGAGTGACAACCTACTAACGACGAGCTGGACGTACTACGAACGGAACCGTCGTACTTCAATCCTACTAGGGACGTTTTAACAACGAGTCGAACTGATTAAGAACGTATTTTTCAAAGAATTAGCAAAATATATCTATCACACCAAGCAAGTTGCCACTGCGTTCTTCAAAACTGGTTTTAAACTGTGTGCGAATGGAATGAACGTAGCTACAACGTCCTACGGTCTGTTTACGAAATTCATGGACTTTCCCGGACGGGGAATGTGATTTAGAATTTTGAATCGATTCAAAATTCGATGGCGACCATACCGTTCAGTAATCAGGTCATGATGACCTTCTAGACTAACACCCCAGTCACATTTCCCACGGGACGGGTAAGCACTAGTTTGGTGTGAGAGGGGGGTAACCGACCGTTTCAATAGGTTCTTTTAGCACTAGGTATTCTTTGTTGCAAGGCAATTGCAAGTTGAAAGAAACATTGTTATTTCAATTTGGTCTTTTGGATTTTCAGCCTCTGTTTCATTTTTTACAATACCTGTCATTTCATTGTCAATTCTATCGTCATTACCAATTCAGAGTATTCTTGTTTTCAAAGTCATTGAGACTTAGTTTTATTGTCCGCCATGATAAAAATAAAATTCTTCAAAAATATTTGCTATTAGAGGCTTCTATTCAGTAACAAACTGTAAATCAAAAGGTCATTATGAACACTCCTCTAGATCTTTAGTCAATATTTGTAGTCAATAAAAGTAAAAATCTTTTGTTTGGATTTTTTTCAAATATAATCGTAGCTCAGTATTAAAGTGTGGGAATTGCATGTTTCAGAATTTTACATATCCTTGAATGAACGCTATTTGTCTATCTCAATAAATTAGGAGAATTTGCCCCTCAAAAAGTTTGTTTTAAAAATATGTTCTTTAAAATTAGGATTTGCCCTTAAAGGTAGCTCAATATTCGATTTCTCTTGATTTGGATTTCATTAAACACATGTTACTAATATAAAAATGTATGTTAGGCCGGATTTTGCCCTAAAAGTAGCTCTAACTCGGGGATATTTTTAAATAAAATAATAACTATACGTAATTCTGTCAATCTGAGAAAATATTTCGTCGCCATGCCATTATAACGTCTTAGTCCACGAATTATTTTATTATACTGTAATCACTGCTGGTATCAAGGAGATTGAATATGACAAAATAATCTTCCCAATGATAAATACGTTTCTTGCCTAGAAAATCATGATTCCGTGGCCTCTCAAGAATGCTGGCATTTTCAAGATGACACCATGTACAAAACTAGTAAAACGACTTGCAGGTTGCATCATATTTTTCGTCCCCATGTAGGTACGCAAATGTAGATCGCAGAGATTTTACTACTTTTGTCCTTTCGATCCCCGTTTCACGTTGTAAGGCCAGCCCGATTTTGTCCATCACGGTGTCTCACATGGATTTCCAAGCGCAAGTATGGAAACGTTATCTTAGGCGTTTGGACGCATCTACCACCCTTGATGCAAACAGCCGTCATTAAGGTATAGCAGGTAGTTGAACTGTAATAATTACGCAGTGGAATGAAAAATCCTCCGTTAATAGTTATGGACGGGGTCTGAGGTGCCAATAAAGTTACGGAAAAGAAAGCTGTGACGTCATGTACGAGGGGTGATTCAAAAGTAATGGACAAAATCTTATAGGCATGCTTACTTTCACCCAATTTGCATGGAATTTGGTATACATAGATCAACCAATTATCTATAAGTTGTGAAAACTGTATTACATCAACAGAAAAAACATTTCAAGATATGGCACATCTCCCGCATTAGGGTGCTTATATCCGGAATTGATTTTTCAAGCACATCAATATCATGATAACATGATAACATGGGTATGGATGAAAAGTTAGCTGGTGAAATACATTTTTCAAGATGGTAGCACAATTAGTTCAACCGTAATTCACATTTACCGTTTAATTCAATTAAAAATATCGAAATCGACACTAATTCCCGTGTACTGGTCAGTGTCAGGGGATATTCGGACCACGGCAAGCTTGAGTGACATTGAAACTCTAAAACATGATAAGTTGTTCCTATATCGCGCGTAAACGCCGTGAACAAATTGAATTTTCGTTCGCCAGTGACACGGTAACTGATTTCTGTTACAAGGTGACGTACGTTACGGGAGTTTATAATCTGTTGCAGTGCTAGATATCCTGATTTAGACAGCAATACATGCTATTTCCTTTCATGGAATATTTCCTGTTCACGCTGAAACGTGTGATTACTTACAATACACAATTCACGTTATCGTATCCAAGGCAGTATCATCGACCAGTGTCAAAATATATTCAAGTTTGGATATTTCATCAAGACTAACATATATTTTTATTATCTACGAAGAAATCCCCTGGATTAATATTATTTCAGCTGATACTCCTCTTGAAACGAAGTGGATCTCAAAAAGCTAAAAGTGGGACTCCCTTTATAGAAGCATTGAACTGAATTTACACTTCTTAATGCTGAAATTGATAGTTTATCCATACATTTTAAGAAAATAGGTCAAAAAAGATGTTAAGCCAAATCTTGACCTGATAGCTCAGAAAAAATAAAAAGTTCGAATTCTCTCTTTACAGTCCTCGTTGCCCCTTTAATATAAAAGTCACAGGTCCACAACCTCGATTGACACTTAAAATGGTGATTCCAACAACATAATGTATTATTTTCAAACACCAATGGGCAGTTGATAGAAAATCGATAGTTTTTTGCTGTTACCTAGGATTGAAGCAAGTTTTTGGACCTGTGGCTTCTATATTGAGCTCAATATTTCTTTTCCCTTACCTTTTCCTATGTGTATATTCTATAACACGTTATTGAAGCCCAAAGACAAATTTTGCCAAGCAGGGTGAGTTTTTAAAAAGAATTCCGAATTTGACAGTTCAGGTCCAAAATCACATGTTAGAAATGCCAAAGCCGTGAACTGTTGCATAATTTTGAAAGGAATTTTTGGCCAGGGAGGGCACTTTATCAATAATTTGCAGGACACTTTTAGATTTATTCAACTTAAGTTCAAACCTGTTGCATATCACCGATCAAAACAAAATCAGTCCACTATTCGATTAGATATATTTTATTAGACTAAACTGCTATACACAATCAGATCCATTTACTGCTAGAGTCCATTTCACTGCTTCATTTCGTCAGTAGAACGGCAAAAATAAGAAATTGGGAGACCATTGTGCAATAATATATGGAAAAGTATATTCATAATGTACATGAATGGCATTTGTTTATTTCAGATTTTTTAGTCTTTTGTGCAATAAGCCTGTGCCGTCTTGTAATTTGAAGAATTTCAGCCATGTTAATCTTATTGAAAATAACATGGCAGAGAAACATCCAAATATAAGAGGCCACACACTTTATAAGCCAAACTAGAAGCAATCCAAGATATACAAATGTCATTCATGTACATTATGAATATACTTTTCCATATATTATTGCACAATGGTCTCCCAATTTCTTATTTTTGCCGTTCTACTAACGAAATGAAGCAGTGAAATGGACTTTAGCTATATACAAGAGGTCCATTCCACACAATTGCTTATAAGACTTTCAGACGTTGGACTAAACTGCTATATACAACAATATGGCCATTCACTGCTAGCTATATACATTAGGTCCATTCCTCACAATTGCTTACAAGACTTAAAGACGGCGTTGGACTAAACTACTATATACAATAGTTCCATTTACTGTTAGCTATATACATTAGGTCCATTCCCCACAATTGCGTACAAGATTTTAAGACGGCGTTGAACTAAACTACTATACGATATGTCCATTTACTACCATATACAGTAGGTCCATTCCGCACAATTGCTTACAAGACTTTAAGACTTTAAAACATATCCCAGATTCCCGACAATAGCATTTGGTTCACGACTCAAAAACATATTAATCTTTAATTTACGTCATTATGGGGGTTCTTTCATTCGGAACACTATTGACTGTTCTTTTACGTCTTGGCATAGCAAGCAAGATGCTCTCCCAGAAATATTTGTTGCTTCTATCGAGATATGTTCGTGTAGAGATGTATGTTTCAAGAGTTGGATACTTGGCTAATTCCTCTTTATCGAGGCTGCCTATGGGGTCATACAGAACCACAATAACAGGTTCCCGTTCACCTCTGACCCAGTCGTCGTGTGATTTAATGAATTCATACATAGTGTAGCCACCTCGAAGAAACTGATTTGAAAGGACAATGATTGTACGTCTGCTTTCTTCTATTGCATCAATGATATTGTCAACGATTGGTTCTCCAGCCGCAAAATCTCGTTCATGCAGACAGAGGTTGTGACCTTCGTTTTCGAGTCTAGTCAGAAGTTCATCCCGAACCCACTCTCCATTAAGTCCAGTATACGACAGAAAAGCGTCATATCGCTTATCCGACTCTTCTATTTTGTCAAATCGTAGTCCGAACCAGACAAACAACTTCAGCCTTATATGAAATCGAAAATACCATCCAAGTGAAGCAGATAGAAATATGAGGACGACAGCAGTTAACAGCCCTGTGATAACATTAAAGGTGGTAGTGAATTGAAATGGAATTATCATTTCTGGAACACAGGTCAAGTTAGAATCTTGTGTCTGAAATAATGGGGTCGGGGAAGTCTGATTTCCATTCATGCAATATATATCCTCATAATCAGTTATCACATTACGCACTTTGAACATCCAGGATTTTAAAGGAAGAGCGTCACAACAATCCCATGGGTTATGTGACAGTTTTATGGAACACTCTGTTGTTTCAACATCACTTCTGTTGCGACCTGCTTCCCCAGCCATGATTAAACGCTTGAGACTATCAAATACATTTGTGTCTACGCTGTGTAGCTGATTCCCTCTTAGATCAAGCACACGTAAACGCCAGAAGGGGTTAAAGGTACTTCTGTGGATTGATCTAATGACGTTAAAGGCAAGATGCAATTCGTCTAGATACAGATATTTAAAATGATTTCCAGTTAGGTTTGCTATCAGATTATTATTCAATGCCAGTATCTTTGTTTTGTTTACTCCAAGAAATATTTCATCCCCACGAAGTTCTGTTATACCACATGAAGTCATGTTTAAGTTCTCCAACGTTGAAAATGTGGAATTGGAAAATGTTCGAGAGTCCAGAAAATGGAATCTATTTTGTGACACATCAAGAATGTTAGTGATCGAGGGAACAGCTGGTATTGGTATACGCGTAAGTCCTTTGTTTGTGCATTTAACATGAAGAAATCTAACCAAATGCATATGCGATTCATCCCCAAAGCATTCACATTCTTTTGGACATTGATCTTCTATACGGCAGAGGAAACGGTTGAGGGGGACATCTCGTATCTTATACCAACGGCTATCGTTCAAAACAGGTATCATGCATTCCAATGCTGTCGAGTTCTGTATAACAGAGGTTGGCTGTGGGCTAGTTGGCTTCTTTGACCACCTCATTGTACAATCACAGACAAGCGCATTATTTGCCGCGTGTATCTCAACAGGTTTTGGCATTTGCCAGTGATACCTAAACTTTAACGGCGACAGCGTTCGTATGTGATTAAATGACACATTCACTATCGAAAGAATCATTGACAAGTAGAACTGCTTTGATGGTAGCTCAGTTAAGAGGTTGTGGCTTGCGTCAACCAGTTCTAGTGCAGGTAAAGAACTCCTACGAATACTTGGCCCAGGTCCAAGAGACGTCATATTGTTATGCGATAAACATAGTTTATTCAAGGAAGGGACGTCATTGATATTTTTGAAGAGTTGATATGCGTCCAGTAGTCTATTGTGGCTAATCCCAAGGTATTTCAGGTTACCGAGTGATCCCAGGGAAACATTGAACTCTGTGAGCTGGTTCTTATCTAAAAAGATTTTCCTCAGACTCTCACAGCCGTCAAATATATCACCGGGCAACTTCCTAATGGTGTTATTTGACAAATCTAGATACTGTAAATTGGCAAGACCTTTAAAAACAACATCAGGTAGCGAAGAAAGTTTGTTTCCATTTAGCAAGATGATTTGCAATGATTGTGACAAGTGTCTGAAGAGTTCACCTTGGACATTTTCAATCATATTGTTGTGAAGGCTCAAATTTGCCAAATACATAGTCCACTTAAATGCACCAGCGTCTATGGTTCTTATCATATTATGTCCAAAATTGAGAACATTCAACAATGATGGAGACCTTCCCTTGAATGTTATCCCTTCTATCGCTGACAATTTATTGTTTGAAATATTAAATACTTCCAATTTCGGCATTTCCGTAAATAGCCCAATGGGTAGCTTCTCAATGTCATTGAAATCGACTTCAAGTTTCTTTAAGAGGAATAAGCCACAAAATGACCAGTTGCTGATACGTGAAATCTTGTTGTGGCTTAACAGCAAAGTCTGCAGAGCGTGTTGTTCGTAAAACATATTTTTTCTTAGAGACACCAAACCGTTTCCACTGAGATCCAAATATCTTAAATTCGGCATTTTGAAAGCACTTTGATGAATATATGTAATGTTGTTGTTTGTCAGGTAGAGATAAATGATACTGGTTGAATGAAAAGTTCCGTTCGCTATGGTTACGATGTTGTTGTCAAAGAGGCTAATCGTTCTCAGTCTACGATTAGCATTGATGGTTCCAGTCAGATTTCCTATGTTATTACCACCGAGGTAAAATCGCTCAAGGTAAACGTTATCAACGATCATGCTGAAAGAAAACTCGACCAGGTCATTGAAGGTCAAAGCGAGTACATTTATCATCGGAAGATTGGTAAACGTAGCTCCGTGAAGAGCTGTTATCTTATTTCTCTGCAAGTCTAGTAGTCTGAGATTGGTCAGACCGTGAAATGCGTTGGTTGATATTTTCGTTATAGAACAGTTTTCCATACGCAAATGTTTCAGTCGTCTCGTAGTATAGAACGCAAATGGCGGAATTTCACTGAACTGATTGTAAGATAAGTTGAGTTCAATTAAATGTTCCAAACATGAATCATTGTGATTTATTCGTGTCAACGCCTCTCTTGGAAAAACAGTCAGATTTAAGTTATTCACGGAAAGACGTTGCAGACGAGGCATTTTACAAAACTGTCCTTTTGAAAATACCTTTATCGGATTTTCGCTTATGTCAAAAGTCTCTAAGACTACCAGGTCCTCAAATACGTTTTCGTCAAGTGCAGAAATGTTGTTCTTGCTCAAATCTAGCCATCTTAGATCATGTAGACCATCCAGAAAAGGTCGCGTGAGGTTCTTTAAATAACAATGAATGATGGAATGACGAAGATTTTTATACTTGCTTAATGTAATATAATTCGGGATCCTTTGAGTATTTCCTCCATTCGTCTGACACAATACGTTCAAAACGGTTGTGTTGTCATGCACATAATTCGTATCCCATTTGATTTCCACATCATATGGATAAGCAATACTGATTATGTAGCCAGTCTTCCCATCAATATTAGCATAATATGGGTCGACAACTGAAGAATAGTCCCCGGAGTCGCTATTCATTACGATGTTACCGTTTTTATCCCTAACAGGCCATACTGTTTCACTTTGTGGGATTTCTTGAGAGGTGAATCTCAACATTACCCATTTCATAACAAACATCCTGTTGAAAATGTATTTTTTTGAGTCTACTGAAGAATAGCACAGAGTGAGTACGGCTAAATAGAAAAATAAACCTCTCATTCTGTCCATCTTGAGTGTTGTACATTAGGTGTTAGACTGCGCAATTCATCACACTTACCGTAGCAAGTATTTAAAAATGTGATTTGTTGAACATTCTTCAACACTGAGATCATTTATGAATGTATGGTGTTTATTCATTCTCATGTTTTTTGGAGTTTTTTAAAGGCATGGATTTTGAAAGCCCTTTGGGGGTTTCTTTGTCTCCAATCAGGTAGTAAATATGTATAAATATTAAGGAAATTAACCAATGGGGCTTCAGCGTTTTGGGAGACTGTTCATGAACTATAGAGAGGTTTCGCAAAACGGGTTAGCTAAAACGTATCTACATCCGTATCTCGTTACCCTTTTGGGTTTTTCTTTGTCTCCATCCAGGAAGTAAATATGTATAAATATTAAGAAAATCAACCAATGGGGCTTCAGCGTTTTGGGAGACTGTTCATGAACTAATAAATATTTATATATAGACGCATGTAAATACACGATGTAATGTTTACATTTCTAATTCTGCAGCCTAGTCCATATCACCCAGAATAATATGATGTTGTGGAGACTGAAAATTACGGTAATCGTCATTATGTTATTATCACACTTTTTATATTCTTTGATATTTTAATTTCCATATCAATAAAAAAAATATTGCATCTTTGCTTTAACATTTGCTTTACCAAATTGCACTCAACGCTTACCAAATCTCTGTCGACTATCGACCCAAATCACTGGTCCCCCACCTGATTAAAGACATTACGTCTTTGTAACAAAATGGATAAACTTCCGTTGGAGAAAATTTATATTTCCCCAAAATACTAGTGAATAGTAAATTGAAAGATATTTTATTAGCATCGGTGAGCATGTACCGCTGAATTTAATACAATGCCTCAAAAGTATGTCATTGAGATCCGGTTTTAGTTTAACTATTGAGAAAATGATACCAGCAACATTCTTCACCACAAGATTTATTCTCGACTTAATTGTATTGATGAGTCTCGTATCACCTCCATATTTTATGCCCCCTTAATCTCAATTAAATTCTTTTATATTCAAAATTGGAAAGTGAGCAAGTTTCTCTCCATACTCCAAATGCAGAGGTCCAGCCGTCGTCGACTATGAAGGGAGGTCGAAGGGACAAGTTGATGTTATTTGGAGCGTTGCCCCGGGGAGCGCTGCGTTCGGAGGATGGTTTCTCTGTAGTGAGAATGTTATGGGAATATAAAATAGATACTACTAACTACCGAGACAAACTAGATTAAATCCACATAAAGAAACAGATCGGTCCCTTAACCCTGACACGAATGGCACACATTCATAATATTATGCATATTGTATGATGTACAGCCAATATTCTCTGACTATGCCTAATTGCCTCAGCATCGATGAGCGCTGTTCTGTGTTTCTGGTGATATCGATATTTCCTTCCCCAATACCTATATTGCTTCATTGAACGTCTTGTAATTGCTGTTTAGTGTTATACTTGCGATTGGGAAATATTGCCCATTAGAGGTTGTGCCACCGGTGGCATAGCTACAATGTAGGAGACAGGCGAGGCTTGAATGGAAAGGGGGGACTACTATGATCATAGGATTCCAACTTCACTTTTTCAGATAAGAAATTGTATGAATTCATGTTTTTCTGTAAATTTTGGCGATGTAGTCGTGTCTCGCTTGTCTCATTCCCAGCTACGCCCAAATCATAGGTACGGATTGTATGTTTGCCGCGTTTGCTTGGCGAGTAGCTCCTACACGTACATTCAAAGTTGGTACAAGCCACTTATTGCTTAATTGGGAAAACAACGAACTTCCCACGGAATGCAAGCCAAGTGCCATTCGTACGTGTTGACTTACTAAAAAAGTCGCTTTTGCAATTATCTAATGAATGTAAAAAGGTTATTTAAAATTATTACGTTACCTTAAGGACACGTCTAACTTTCAGAGGCACTTTTTTCTTCAAGTAATCCACAATCATATCAAGAGCCTCTTCACACTCTTGATGTGCATCCGCCAATGGATGTAGTTGCTGCCTGACGTAATCATTCAAATCAAACAGAGCTGGCGGTTTATTCAGAAAGGAGTCTTTTGGAATGTTTGAAACTGTCTTGAACGCCATTGCTGTGCTGTTTTACTGTCTTTTCTGGATGGAATATTTATATTGCTTTTAGAGAAGCAAATCAAGTGATGTCATGACCTCATCTGCAAAATATAATGACAACGACAAATAATTGATGCATTGCTAATAAATTATGCATGTCATAAAATGGGTCACGCTTGTATACAAATTACAAACGATTATAAAAACACTTCTTAGTGCTCTGCCGACAGTGAAAATGTATCTCATGGTTTGTTGGAATTCTGAGCTATGGGAAATAGGGGTAATTGGATATATTCAAACATGCATTGGGACATAGGAGAGCACAATCGAGATAACTGGGCTTTTTTGCTTGTAGAGTCGTATCAGATATTCATATTCGTCCCAACTAAAAAGTCGATTGCACTGACCGATGGAATTACAATTCACCGAAAATAATTAAATCTGAAATTCTTATATCTCAAGGAAATCCCATTGTGGGATCCACAGCCTTTACTATCCTTTTGGAATAGTTCTCTCAAAAGCGTTAGGTAAAGAGGGACTCTGATAAATCAGAATGAGGAAATCCCCCTGTAATCTGCTTGGCCGTTGGGTCTGTTTATCACTGTGGTCACGTGACCAAGGGAATTCCATGAGTGGCAGATATGAAATTGAATCTGATTGGCTGCCTGGGGATCACGTGACGACATTTGTGTCACTTGGCGGAAATTCCCCTCGATGGCGGAAAGCTTACATTTTGTTCAATTCTGACAGTTGATTTGTCCTATTGATTTTCTTTTGCCTTTAAGTTGGTCTTCAGATATATCTAAGGTAGCCTATGTAAGATATCATATAAGCAATTATCGATGTGGAAGTTAAACCTTAATGAATCTTTGATTCAAATTTCTCCCTCACTATTTCACTTTTTGCTTGTCGGATAGTAAAAGTCTTGCAGCATGCCCATGGTATGCTGGATTATGGTCCCCCTTCTTAACGGCCCTTACTGGCCCTGATTGTGTATAAGATAATAAGGGAAAGAGGTCACCATATGAAATAATGGAGAGTAGGACCATAATTTGATAGGACCTCCTACTCTTTTACACCAGGTCAAAACAATTTTGCAACAAGATCCGGGCAATTTATGTCAAAACCTCTGAGATACGACATGATTGTGTGTCATCAACTGTAATGATCAGCAAGTGTGTGGCGTTTCAATGGTTGACAATATGGACAAGAAACAATTAGGAACACGATTATCGAGCAACGACGTTCCCAAGATGCATTATCCCAAAGGTGACTAATATTTAAAAGACGTGTATGTTGACACTAGCGAATAAATACATCAATAGCCGAACAAATCGAAGACATCAATTGTCCAGTTTGGTTACACATGTTATAAATTAATGGCGTTGGGGATTGTCAACTGTGTTGGCGAAAATGTAGTGAGTTCATAAGAATATATCTTATTGATAATACTTCAAACCTCTTGATATTAAAAATTAGTGAATCATTCTGTTTTGAATTAGTATACGACATCATTATATATAATTATGTCGATTGTTGTCATAATGTCAACATTGTATACATCACTTCTATATAATAACTATGTATGTCATATTTTGTGTGAGTAAATTACTTTAGTTACAAGCCCTTGTGCCACTCCCCCCCCCCACTCTGATGAATGTACACCAGTGTTGTGTTCAGTTGAGTTACTGTCTTTGTATTCATCACAACTTAACATTGTTCCTATATTTAGCTAATAAACAGAAACGTGTTATCTAACCCTGCCACTTATATTCCAGATTATAGATAATCTATTTATTATTTACTCCCCCACATCATTAATAGAATGAATGAGGTCGTCGAGAGCACGCCACTAGAAAAGTGATTGGCAATAGCGAGCTGAATTGCTTACCAATAACTAATAGCATGGTATATACCATGTATTTATATAATATTATATTACATGATGTCATTAGTTCTAGTTAATAACAGCAGGAAGTAGAATTGATATTGTTTCAAAAATCGTAATTATTGGGTCAGCTTTGCTATTTGAAATTGTAATATTCACCTGGTAGTCCTCGTAATAATTCTTTTTTACCCGAATTTTCTTTTCCTTTTTGGTAAAACTATTGACTCAAATTTTGGTATTGGTATTGGTTAAGATGCCTTGATCAATACATATATGTTTGAGAATTACTGTAGTTCCACAATCACTGGTAACATGAGTTAATACTGTCTTACTGATTGAGAATTTAATATGGATTTTACACATCGGTCAATATGTAAGTAGTATCGCCCCATTTGGTACGGGGAATACCATATTGACCTTCAGTCCAAAACCTACATTCAATCTCTCCCGGTTTATGTCTATAAACAGAGTCGGATAGGATGAGATTGCACCGATGACGATAATCAGTAAACTAAACATTATGAAATCCTAAGACATTCACGATTTGAAAACACAACCTGCAAACCTGCAAAAACTGACATCATCCAATTAACTATATGGAATAAAACTGTATCGATATTAATGTTAGGACAGCATTATTTTGAAGTGGAGCAAAGTGTAACGATTTCGTAATCAAATAACCATTACGCTGTACTCCGCTGTAATACTACATCCATGTATTATGTGTATTGTACAATACACCGAAATAGAACATAGACTTAAAACACTGGCTTTCATTCTCCCACAGTTTGATTGATTGTGCTAAACGATGCCCATGCCATAGTCTTACCTTTGCTTGATTCCTTATCTTCTTGAGAAATGTGACAGACTATTATATTCCAAACGTCTATGTGTCCGTTTGCAAGATGTACTCTAATTCTTTGATATTAATCTATGGTCTGCAGCATAGTAATATTGTTGACTAGCTGTGCGGCAGTGTTATATACAGCAGGTCCTAGAGAGACCGCTCTTCATCGATCTCAATCCCAATTACAGAGAGCTAGATGCATACCCGTAAATGAAATACCAGATTCAAGAGAGCTGTGCGAAATTGGGTACAAAGAATGGAATAAGCATGTGTAACTACACAAGGCACAAATTGATGAAGAACTGAGAATGAGTTTATAACCTTTATAAAAATTATAAAAATACATAACAAATTACAGCCTATTTATCTGGTTAGTTGTTTGTATATGTAGTGTATACATGTATATGACAGTGTATTAGAACGTTAACGTACAACAAGTACATAAATTGTCAACACATTTGAGAGAATGTACCTGAAAATGTTTGATCTGCGCAACAAACACATTAGACAAAATGTATATAACAATGTTAAAACTAAGCGATCTGCTGAACACATTAAACACAAATGTATAGAAAAAACTGAACCGACACAAACATAGAGAAACGCTATAATTGATGTAGGAATATTCTTGAAATTTGACTATCTAATGTCCAGACAAAATGATTATTACAATCATAAAAAGGTTTCTTAAGGTAATTATTTTGACTTGTAGAGAAAAGTTTGTTTCAACACGTCACCAATTTTTCCAATATCCAGCAGCGCATTTAACAATGCATCGACCATAATAAAGGTCCTTGTGATCTAACTAATAAAATAATCGACTTCTACACCATCTTTTTACTATAATCACTCTTGTACGGGTATCGTTCCAATGAGTTTAAACTACTTGAAAGACATGCTATAATTAAACATTTCATAATCAGTTTTAAAAATTTGGTAAAACTTTTGCTGGTCCTGAAGCTCGAGTGTTGCTGTGTACTGTTTTATCACGCTTTGGGCCTTGGAAAGAATGACAGGGAATCTGAATTTATCCAAAATGCCAATCCGTTCAAGGATGTAGTCCGAGTCAATATTTAGTGTTTCGTATGTGCTGATAACGTCATAATGTAAATCACATGGTCTGCACAAATCGTAATATCTGCTCCAGAGTTCGTCTCGGTCTAATGGATCTTTAGACATTGCGATATATTTGAGAAATTCATCAAATCGTATGAATCCACGTTCAATTTCTGATGACGTTGCACTTTTTCTAAATAATTTCACAATGTCTCTTCCCAATCGCTGTCTGTAAAAATTATTTTTGCCGTCCATGAATTTGTCATTCCAAACTGAGAGTACTCTTTCCATTGGATCACGCACCATCATAAATTTGAAAAACGTTTTTAACATTTCTATTATTTCGCCCTTTGGAAAAAATTTGAGTTGTTTAAGCTTTTTCGATTGATACCAATATTTCCAGTCTATCTTTCTCTTCTTGATATATTTTGTATCGGTCCCAACGAAATTAGCAAGCAAAATTTCACGCCATTGGGTGGAAGCAACGTTTGGGACGTAGCAGTAAATTAACTTATTTTTTGTGTCTACGTAGATATGATCCAACGTTGAAATATTGAAAATCGGTTCTTCGTTTTGTACTTTGAGACACTGTTCTTCGACATGTTGTTTTCTTAGTTGTAGGATAGCTTCAATGCTTCGACCTGTTTGTTCTAGTCTGTTCCCCAAATTGGTCAGCTCCTGAAACAAGAATTATACAGGGTGTTCCTAAAGTCTCTTTTCAATTACAACTCAACAATACAAATTGAGAAAAATCAATCAACTGACAACGCACCCATAGTGATTTACTTAATATAGTTCGGAAATAAATATAGACATTTGAGAAAAATTAAGTGACCATATAGGGATGTCTGAAGACACTCATTCTAATTTGATATATGCACTGATATGTCCTCTAATAACAATACACATCCGTTTTATAAAATAAATAAAAAATATAACAAAAAAGTAAAGTTGGACGACACAATATATTAGTATGTACAAGTGAGCCAAAAAGGTAACCCAAATAAATCTTTAACCCAAACAAGTCTTTAGAGGCAAACATCGGTTTTTCTGACTACACGCTCTTATACATATATTATATAAGTACAACATCATGGCTCTCATTTTATTTTCTCTAATCTCTTGATTCAACTCTCTGGTCCTTCTAGGGTTGTTAGTGTGTAAACATTATCTTGAAATAGCCCCCTTAATTTCCGGGGTTCATATTGGTTGATTTTGGTATGATCTGGCATTTAGAGCATATTTCGTAAAATGGCCATAAACTTCAATTGTACCAAATGTGATATACTGGATGACTGGGTTATTTGTTTGGGTTACCTTTTTGGCTCACTCAGTACTTGTCCTGCGGAAACTTGACAATGTAAAATAATTCAAAATACTGTAATTGGATTTCTCAGAACAGTGATTTTGGTCGACATGGTTTAAACGGGATTTAACATATAATACTTATTACCTTCTCGTTTACGTCGATCTGTTGTGCAGTTGGCCCACGTGTAAATATATTCAGAGTGTCGCGAAGTACATTGACGCTTGAGAATATCATAACCTGAATGACCAAAAAGAACACCAGTGAAAGCACGATAACTCTTTTCCAGCAAGTCCATCCTGAACGCTGAAATTCAAACAAATAGATAATTTATTAAATAAATGCATTCGAAAACAGAAACTTTGCAGTAAGAATTCCTGGATCAATTGTCGTAGGCATTAGCTATTTATATTTTTTAATTTTACGAAAGTAATTTATGTAAATGACCCACTGGTTATACAAAAACAGTTATGGTGGGACGAGTTATTTTACGTAGAATTAGAATTAAAAGCTTGAGCCATAAAAGAATCTCATTAATCATTTAAATACCATTTTATTTCTGATTACAAGAAATAAAATGTTGACCCCTGCATTAGCGTGGAGGGGTCTCGTGGGATCCACGTGACTAGCCACGTGGCTTTTGGTCCAACTTCTAGTATTCGGATGGTTTGTAACATATAAATAATGAAAAATCCTACTCACGTAACAAGTCATAGTGTTTTGGTGTCAATGTCGGTCCTTACTTTGCTCATAAAGACGAATGTACGAATTTATCGGTTTGGCTATCTGATTGTTTACAGCATATGTACGGCAATCTAAAAAAATCGTGTTCAGCATCAACATTCAACATTTCATTGCTCTATTTTTGCCTCACGCTTTGTTAATCCATTTCATTCTGAATGTGTTTTTGGATGAAAGTAACATGATCCCCGAAATTTCTCTTCCATAACCTATGTAAATCTTAAAGCCATATGAAAATATAAAATGTTTCTTGCTAAGTTGATAAATCAACTCCAGGAAATATAATGGTGTGTACTACTAAGGTTTAAATAATCTGCATTTTGTTGGACCTTCACTGGACTACGATTTTAACAGAAGAAAAAAGTTCTGATTTCTCAAATTTCGTTTTGGTTCTCCATTAATGAAGTCATTTGATCTATATTCAGATTGAGGCTTTGATCTCTCAATGCAAATCAATGGAGGGATATGATTGTACATACTTTTTGATAATGTCATCGAGGTCAGTTCACAATCCCATTATTGTGTGGATTCACTCCAAACAGAAAAAGTATTGAGCCAGTTCTTAGATTTTGACAAAACTGCCTTACATTTGTTATACGAGGGTATATCATAAAGTTCTCAAAATATCTCTCTATTTTTTTATTTTTCAATATATTCTAATGAAATCTTCATGAAAAATTTTTAAACTATAAATAGGGGGTAATTTTGTTGATATCTTTGCAACATATTTGTTTTAGATCATCTTTAGTATGAGCAAAAGGAATTTTCGAACTTTTGTAAGTATGAATTTTATTTTTCAGATGATCTCTGCATCTAGCATTATCTTACCCAGTCATTTGTGATCATTAAGCTTTGATTCTCAGAGTCTGTTATCACATCTTATGAAGCATGTAAGCATCCCCTGTGACATCACACAATTCACACGATCAATTTAGTTTATAGTAAGAGCATTTAACAACATATTCAAGATAACATTTTAATGTGTTTGATAATTTATGAGAGTTTAATATATGTGTAAACATGGTTAATCAATCTCATTTTCTCAATTATTTTTATTTGCCCCGGGTGCCTTGATTTCCGGTTACTATGGCAACCATTTCAAATATTCCTTTTATACCAAATAATTTTTGATAGATTAATACAGTTTATTATACTGAAGATTTCATGAAAATTTCATGAGAATAAATTGAAAAATAAAAAAGTTAGAGAAATATTGTGAGAACTTTATGATATACCCTCGTATATGGCTTTAAGCACTCTTTATACGCATGTGCATTATTTGCATCTTTCAGTAAAATAATCGAAAAATATATTACCTTACATCCAAGGAGACACTAATATTATGTTTTCCCAATCGTTCTGCTATGTCCCATAACACACGATACTAAAGTCAAATTTTCTACTTGAATCTTCAAAACCGTTGTGGAAAATATGTTGTTAGCAAGCCTGTTATACTTAGTATTTTCTGTATTAGGCCAGTCCAATAAGTTCGAGATCATATGTATATATTTAAATGTAAATGGTTTACAGGGCCACATTTAGGTTCTATTATTATTTTAGTATATTGTACAAATACAAGCATTTTAATATTGAATAATAACAGTTATTTGGCTAATCCGTTTTAAATTCAAATATAAGGGTTGTTCAATAACTACTGATACAAGTGCCTTCGTGTTCTTGTTTACGAGGGAATTAAGATCTATTCAAGATTAAAGGCAATATGCACAGATGTGTGTTTTAATACTGATTAAATATGACAAATGACAGGTGGTGACATTTTGCATGTTAATGCCTTGTTTTTCCTTTTCATACTTTAATGTATACGGCCACATAATTATGCGGTTTCTTAATATATCTGAGGCATATCCCGAATCTAGGGTTCAATAAGACCATTAACTTAAGACAGCTACTTTTATTTTATAGCATTTTCTTGCACCTTCTGATCCACTACTGGATATAAATGTGTCAGTCTTAAAACTCTCTCGAGATAGATTTGGACTTGAATAAAGTGATAAATGAAAAGTAAAAACTACTCCGGGTACCCATTCTACATTTGATGTGACTTTAAAAGTATTAAGAATAAATTTGTAATTGTAATTAAAGACAAACCTATTGCTTTTTATCTTGGAAACTTTTGTCTCGATTCCTTTACAAATAAGAAAATAAGACTTGTATAAGTATTTATTCAACGGCCCTCGTATAAACGCAGTCGTGTTCCTTTAATAGAGCAAATGGTCAATCGGCTAAAAATATATGAATAAATGGATGTTTCATAATCAAGCAAACCCTTTATTTTCCAGTTTTATACACTACATTTGTGAGCACCAAAGGTGAATGTCATAGAATCCTATGCCATAACACTGTGGCCATCTATTGCCAGTGTTTTAAAAGAGAAACTTATAAATAGGCAACTTTCTTTATATGGGGATGTATTTTAGTCTTCATTTGAAACACCTTATGCTTATATGAATAATATTATAGCATTTACTTGCAACGTAATATTTAATGTAGAAATGTTAAGGGACTGATCCCTTTAACAGGATATTGGTCAACTTAACATTTTTCAAATAAACATTCTTCCGTTTTAGTCCATGGTATGACTTCCGAATATGAAGGATCCGTAGCACACTATAGCGCAGCAACATTTGAAGCAATATTTATGAAGGTGTACATGTCTTGATTCTTTTAAAATACCATTTGCTGAAAAAACTTCCGGCTTTCGGGTCGAAAAACGTCTTTCATCACAAGGGGTCAAAAAACGTAAATATTTTGATTCGAACTTTTATACATTTTATAAGACACAGACCGTTATTCTAAGGATACGAACAAAAATAAATTATCATAATTTAAAAATATACTATTCAATTTTACCGTAGATGTCGGTGTTTAATTAGTGTAATTATGCAAGTGTGTTTTTCAGATTTTGTTTTATTTTTCAAATATGAGCAAAGCCGATTCAACAAAATTATGTGGAATATTTAGGTAATTTATGATTGGGAACATATTAGTTTTCTTACCATTTAAAACATTATATTACCAGAATTTTTCCATATAATCGCAAGGGGTCTCATAGCAAATTATTGTTCATGTTTTAAAAAACATAATAAAATAACAAAAATGTAAGATTTATATCTAATTAAATGTTACAGAGGTATTGGAATGTTCATATATTCCAAGGGCATGTCTAATAATCAATTAGAGTCATATGCAATCGAACGCATTGAAATTCTTCCTCGACGTTACTTGCGGCTATCATCAAGTTTTCTGATGGCTGTTTGTTCTTTGACCAAACCGCTGGATACAATCAAATTATAGGAAGATAATGATAACGATTTTTCTCAATTATTCATGAATTCGGTCAAGTCTTGATGGTTGTTTTATAAGCAACTGAGCTATATCTAACCACGGGAAATAGAATTTTAGCTGTAGTCCCAATAGGATAGTTTCTAAATAGCAGAAAAATCAATGAAATCTCGTGCTGCCATCTTTTATTCAGCTTTTAACTCTGGCTAGAGCTCCATTCACTTACATGCTAAAATCTTGGAAAAGTGGCTTAATTTCATGATTTATCAAAGTGTGTTTGTTGAATCTGTATAAAACTTGAATGATATACCACATGATGACCCTGTTTATGAACATGTTGTGATTAAACATGCTAATGTTGATTGACATACAAATAATCCACGGTTTTAAAGAATTTTAGCATTGCATCTATGGACATTTGGCCCAACTTTTTTTAAATTGTCATAGAAAATTATTCAAATTACATAACTGTGTAAATCAAAGCTATTTTAGGAGAAAACATTCCACTGAATTCAAATATACCATTTAAAAGAAGGTAATGTAAGTCATTAGAGGTCTAATATGCAAGTCTCTTAAAATCTCACGAAAAACGAGATTTAGCGAGATTTCAAAAGCTATATGGAAACTATACTATTAGTCAAGGAAGAGCAATAGGCCCGCCTTTATTGATAATTTTCACCGCTGAAGAAAATTCAATATCTCAAAACGTATTGAGACCCCTTTTGTGAAAAACTAGCATAATTTAAACATTTGTCATTCCAATATAAAAGTGATTAATTTGTAGCATTTATCTTATTAATACCTGAGAAACAATACAAAACGTCGATACACTGATTACATATTTTTTGGTATTGATAAGAAAAATAAGCTCAAACTTATAGCTTAGAAACCTAAATCATATATTTAAAATCATTTTGTATTATTTTCTGTTGCATTGTGTACTCCAAATTGTGAAAAATTTGGATTTTATTTTTTGGTGATTTTTTGACCTCTGTTAATGGCAGGCATAATTCAGCCTAAAAGCCGGAAGTATATTGAACAGTTATAATAAAAATTATGAGGGGACATATGTAGGTATGTTAATGTAAGGTCAAATAACGCTGCGCTATAGTGTGCTACCAACTACTTTATTAGACGTCCTAGAGATTTCATACCATGGACTATTTACTTTTAAAACCAATTGCATGTTGTAGATAAACCTTAATTCTTGAGATGTGCGATTTCACAAAGTGACATGGGTTTCCAGCTTCTTCGAAAAATTGGCATAAAGACCTTATCCAAGGACTGTCTAAAAGAGGACAGAAAGTATCGCAACAGATTTCGGACAATCATACGTTGGATTTTGGCTATTTTCTAAGGATTTAAACAGGTGCATGTGTTAGACCAATGCATAACCTCCAAGAAAAGCACTCATTAAGATGATAAAGATGATAACTCCGACTTTGAGACAGGGAAGATGCAAACAACCCACCCACATATTTTTTCTGAAATGCTGTCCTGATTTTCAACCCTTTCAATCCATGCCTTTCAAATTTTTGTTGCATCAATATGTTGCGTTTTGACACACAGTTAACCCTTCTAAACAAATAAGTAATTCCTTCAGGAGTTTTAAAGGTATCCATTGTGGGTGACCAAAATTAAGCTGAAAGCAATCGATCGCATTAGTTTTCCCTATGGGAAAATAACATGGGAAGTATTGTTTTCCACTTCATCTTAAAGGAATTACTTATGTCTCAGTGTGTCTCCCTCTCATGTTAACATCAGCAATTCTTTTCAGATATGACCATCAACACGCTTCAGATAGGGATGTGGCATTTTCTAATCCTCATAGAACCTTTTTAAGGACATTTAATTTTGATTCTATATCTTGTTCCCAGAGGAATTTGTTAAGGAGCAGTATATCTTAACGTACTTTTATCACCCCGAACTGAAACATTTCGAATACTTATTTCGCGAACGCTTTGTTGAGAATGGATTCGAGATGTACTCAAAATTAAAACGTTAAAATTCGACATCTGGTTTGACAACACTATTATTTTTCATTGGTTACCAAAACCTTATACCATGGCAATCGTGAAAATTGAAGTAGAAATGAGAGCAAAGGAACACCCAACCCTACCATAATGGCAATGTAGAACGCGGCCTCTCGACTTTTTGGTGAGAAGTCATATCTGCACTTTTTAGAAAGTTGACACCACCTTCTAATCTGCCTTAGGAAACCGACCTTTTATTTTTTCTCAAAACATATTCTCTAAAAATCGGGAAATTAGATGAAGAGCGAGGAAATTTTGAAATGAATTTCAGTCACAAAAATAACGAGGGACAACTTACACTTCCCGAGTGTAATTTTTAAAATATTTCTCGACATAGGAATTTTGTTAAACTAAGTATCGTCGGGAAACACCTAGATAACAAAATGTCAAAAATGGGGGTTTGGTTTACCACTTTGATTTTTTGCGAAACGTGGTCAAGTATATAAAACTACGAACAAAGCACTCACTTTCACAGTAGAATCACCTGTTATCGCCCAAATGGCTATATTTTTTTTTTATTCATAGAAAACATTTGAAAGCAGTTACATTAACATATACAATATTCATAATATCATAGAAATCACACAATTTTCCATCATATTCTTTTTTAAGGCATCTAACCACACTAGTCTAATCTAATCTAGAACCCATAATTTCCCACCTTTTTTCTCTGCCTATTTGCTTATCAATATTACAATTATAAGATATTACATTTGCTTTAAATCCTTTGAAGGTAGGTCTTAACATTGAGTCTTTGCATAGGTACACATATCTTTTAAATATACTCCACATATTTGTCAGGATAATTGTTCTATCATTTATACATACTGGTCCTATTAAAATATTCTGTTTTGTACAAAGTTCTGTCAATTCCTCTGGTAACCAGTTTTTAATGACTACTATGAGTTCCATTATCACTTTACACTCATAGAGGAGATGACAAATTGACTCTGGTTCTACTTTACAAAAAGTACACAGATCTGATTCTGCTAATCCACACATTTTCAAGTATGTGTTGGTGGCCAAAAATCTATGAAGAATTTTAAAATTGAAAGAAGCTAATTTTGGTTTAAAATTGCTGACTTTATTGATTCTATTGATCATTTTCCAATCTTCTTTGTTAAGTAACAGATTCAGATCTTTATTCCAACCAGTGATGTACTTTATGTTTGTCTCTTCACTTTTTATAAGTTCCCAATATATAATTTTACTTATCTTACTTTGGCCCATGAACTTTTTTGTGTGTTGTTTTTGTCTTTCAAAGTTATTTAAACTATCGCCGTTTTTCTTAATATCGCTCAACCACTGATTAGGAATTGTATTTCTGAGACTCAAATAATCAAGAAAATTAATGTTTGTATTGAACTTTTCATTGAATTCCTCTTGATTCAGAATTCTATTTGACTGATGAAACATATCTTGTAGTACAATTGTCTCTCCATTGACTCTTACATTCTTCAATATTTTTTGGACATTTTGGTTCTTTGTAAGCTTTGCCCAAGTGTTGCACATAGCAAGTTCAGCACTCAATTTTGAATCATTCTTTGCCTCTTTCTCTTTTTGTTCAGTGTATATTCTAAATGTGTAAACAAGATCTTTCCAAAATTTATTTGAAATATTTTCTTCTATTTTCTTTAAGGATTTGGAATCATATGCAAAGAGTTCACGTTTTGAATTTACAATTAAAATATTAAGTGCAATGTCTTGCCATGTGCCAGATTTCTGAAGTTTTTGCAACCATGTCAATTTGAGTGAATGTTCAAAGATCTTGGGATCAATCATTTTTAAGCCTCCGTCGTCAAAATCTTGTACAATTTGTGAAAAACTTACTTTTGCAACTGTTGAGTTCCAAATGAAAGAAGTAAATAATTGTTTGATTCTAGTTTGGCAGGGGTTTGACAATTTTGGCAAGACAAGGAACAAATGTACTACCTTCGGCAGCACAAAGGATTTGAGTACAGTAATTTTTCCCATTAAGGATAGATTTCTTCTTTTATACCTACTTATAACATATTGCATTTCAGTAATTTTGTTTTCAAAGTTGAGAGATTCTACATCTTTTAAATCAGAAGATAGGTGTATTCCAAGAAGTTTGAAATTTGTTTCCCACTTAAGTGGAATCTCTTGGCATAATATTTCTTTAGAACCTTGTTTACTACCTAACCAGATAGCTGACGTTTTCTCTATATTTAACTTTAATCCTGACGTTTCATAAAACATATCAAAAATACATAGGCAGCGTCTTAGTGATTTTGCTGTACCATCTAAAAATACAAAAGTGTCATCTGCATACATTCCCATTTGAACTTCTTCATTATAAACTTTAATACCCTTAACGTCTTTGTCGTTTTTAAGTTTTAAACATAAAGGTTCCAGAGCTAGGATGAATGCATAGCAGGAGAGGGCATCTCCCTGCCGACAGCCACGCTTTAATTTGAAAAAACTTGACAAGAAGCCGTTATTTATAACGCAACTTTCAGACCCATTATATAGAATCTTGAACCATTTAAGGAATCCGTCCCCAAAATTGAATTTTTTCAGACATTTTTCTAAGTATACCCATTCGATACTATCAAAGGCTTTCTCAAAATCTGCTAATAGTAATAGCCCTTGGTGTCCTTTTCGATTCAGATGATCTATAACATCATAGACTAGACGCGTGTTTTCTGACATCTCTCGACCCGTTAGATATGCTTTTTGATCTATAGAAATAATATGCGGCAGAACTGACTTCATTCTTGTTGCTAAGGCTGATGAGAGGAGTTTATAATCCGCATTTAATAATGAGATTGGCCTCCAGTTTTTAAAGTATTTTCTGATTTTGTTCACCTTGGCAAATGGCTATATTTTGTCAAGGTCAGGGGGAATATTTCCCAAAGATGACCTTTCATTTTGGTACGTTCGAAAACAAATTTTACAAACAGGCCTCATTTGCCATTTAACTGAATCTCCCAATATTCGCTGTAGTTTTATGAGTATTCTCTACAAGTTTGGATCGAGTAACTTCAATAGTATTACCGTATGTTTAAAATGATGATATTGAACTGATGTTAACGCCATTTCCACGATTTCAAATTTTGAATGCGCAGACCTGAGAGAGCACATGCTCATGATTGTTCACGTGATCGCATCCCTGCAATTTGATTTGAGATGATGCGGTAGATGACGTAATGGGGAATCCCCGAATACGATAGAATATGAAAGAATTAATTGATGGGAGCTACTCGCTTCTTCTGTGTCAAGGTTAAAGGCGTTTCTTTACCCCGGAACAAAGATCTTTGCACTGGTACATCCATTTCCATGAGATGCATGTGAAAGGGGAACTAATGTCTTTAAATGTCATCAAAACTTTATTCAAAGACGTAAAAAGGCCATTTCCACACTTTTAGGACTTCCCAAGAAAATACAACGACATAATAGCAGACTGAATTATAGTCGACTTCTACGCCCTCTTTATTTTACATTTCGAACGTTTACAATCATATTGATTCACCACTACAAAATGAGTTTAAAAACTACTTGAAAGACATGCTATAATTAAACATATCATAATCAGTTTTAAAAATTTGGTAAAACTTTTGCTGGTCCTGAAGCTCAAGTGTTGCTGTGTACTGGTTTAGCACGCTTTGGGCCTTGGATGGAATGACGGGGAATCTGAATTTATCCAAAATGCCAATCCTTTCCAGGATGTAGTCCGAGTCAATATTTAGTGTTTCGTATGTACCTATAACGTCATAATATAAGTCACATGGTCTACACAAATCATAGTATCTACTCCAGTGTTCGTCTCGGTCTAATGGATCTTTAGACATTGCGATATATTTGATAAATTCATCAAATCGTATGAATCCACGTTCAATTTCTGATGACGTTGCATTTTTTCTAAATAATTTCACAATGTCTCTTCCAAGTCGCTGTCTGTAAAACTTATTTTTGCTATCCATGAATTTGTCATTCCAAACTGAGAGTACTCTTTCCATTGGATTACGCACCATCATAAATTTGAAAAACGAATTTAACATTTTTATTATTTCATACTTTGGAAAAAGTTTAAGTTGTTTTAGCTTTTTCGAATTGTACCAATATTTCCAGTCTATCCTTTTCTTTCTGATATAATTTGCATCAATCCCCATGAAATTAGCAAGCAAAATGTCACGCCATTGGGTGGAAGCAACTTTTGGGACGTAGCAGTAAATAAACTTATTTTTTGTGTCTACGTAGATATGATCCAACGCTGAAACATTGAAAATCAGTTCTTCATTCTTAACTTTGAGACACTGTTCTTCGACATGTTGTTTTCTTAGTTGTAGGATAGCTTCAATGCTTCGACCCGTTTGTCCTAATTTGTTCCCGAAACTTGGCAGCTCCTGAAACAAGAATTATACAGGGTGCCCCTGAGCATTATTAATGTTTTTATTATTCTTAAATCATAGTAATTTACAAAGTACAAGAAAGCAAGACCAATCGCCATTAGGCATTACAAGTCGCTTTAACATAAATATAGTTTAGAAGCAAGTAATAATAAAACAAAAAAATGCATAAAACTATTGGAAAGTTTTGTTGTTAATTGCTTAGTTGTTGGGGATATTTTGGTCCAGGAGGTTTGGGCAAGTTTTAGATTCTCAATGGGTGAATGTAACATGATCTAACAAAGTTGAGCACAATGTTAAGAAGTAAGTTTTGTGAATCACGGCTAAGGGTATTTTCATAAAGGAGATATTTGACTTGATCATTTCGGTTGGTGTAGATGTTCTCATCATAGAGAAGGTTGTTTTGTCTAAGTGCAGTAATCATGTTTGTCCTATCATCAGTATGGCGGGGGCAAGAAAGGAGAAAGTGCTTAGTATTTTCAAGGGATCCACATGGACACTTGTTGCCGGTTACACCAATAAAATTATGAGAGAAAAAGTGTTCTTTTAAAAAGAAATCGACACGAAGTCTGTTTAAAATCTTCTCATTTGACCTTGTTAAGTTTAGCTTGGTTGTTGGAATGAAATTTATGTTTGGGAGAATTGTTGACCGAACAGCATTTTTAAAACTAGAGATGGTTGGTAGTTCTCTTATAAGTTGGCTAAGGTTGTTCCATTGTTTTATAATATTTAAGACAGGGGCTTTAAGGAGTCTGATAGAAACATTAGTTGGAATATTGTAAGGCATAGAATGTCTCAGTAGTCTGGTGGCTATTTGTCAAATATGTCGCATATATATTGTGCTACATTTCTTTTGTTTATTTTGAACATTATCCGAACATTTTTTTCATTTCTCCTTTGACTAAGGGTTTTCCAGTTAAGACATTGAAAAACTTTGGAGGTATCTGAGCCATGAAGAACACCTGCACATATTACACCTGCTTGATAGTGCAATTTGTCAAGTTTTGCTAATAGGGCTAATGAGGCAGACCCATACAAGGCACTGCAGTAGTCAAAATTTGATGCTACATAGGAGCTATACATTGTTTCAAGGTGTTTGGATCTTACACTATTTGACAGATACTTGAGTGGATTAAGCAGTTTTTGGACTTTCCGTGAAAGATAGTTTATATGGTCTTCATAAGTCAAATTTTCATCAAGGATAAATCCAAGATGTTTGTGTGAAGATTTACATGGAATGATTTCTCCGTCAAAATAAAGTGGCGTTTTTTGGAAGTTTTTGATCCGGTTTGAGTGGAATATGACTTGGGCACTTTTGGAAGGTTTGAATTTAAGGAACCATTTCTTTGACCACAGATTTATTTTATTAAGATCATTTTGAATCTGATCTGTTTGAGCATTTGATGGATGAAAAAATGAATATAGAGATGTATCATCGGCATATATGTATGCTTCAGAGTCTAAGTTGTCTGGGAGGTCATTTATATAGATGAGGAACATGAGGGGGCCTATTACTGAGCCTTGAGGAACACCAGAGTTTATGAAGTTGTTGTTTGAGAATTTAGAATGATGGTCATTGATTGATACACAAATTTTTCTATTCCTCAGGTAAGAATCACAAAGATCAATTGTCTTGCCGTTAATTCCATAAGATTTCATTTTGTGTATTAAGAGCGAATGCGGGACGGTATCAAACGCAGCCGAAATGTCGAGATATACCGAGTTAATACAGTTTCCTTGTTCCATTTGATGATAAATATAGTCAGTAATTGCTAAAAGTTGAAGTTCTGCGTTGTGGCCAGGGAGAAAACCTGACTGAAACTTGTATAAGAGGTCATTATCCATAAGGGTGCCCCTAAAGTATCTTTTCAATTACAATTCAACAATACTTATACAGAGTGAGAAACACCAACCAACTGACGATGCACCCATAGGGATTTCTACTACTAGTATATAGTTTGGATTAAACCCCGTTCCAAATTGGTCTAAAATGAAGAAACAGCTACTTGAGCTACTACTTCCTTCAATTTCAAAATATACAAAATAAATATTTATCTAAGTACCCATATAAACTATAAAAGGTTAGTAATTATGGAACTTTCTGAAAATTAGAGTGATCACTAGTGATGTCTAAAGCCACTCTTTCTATTTTGATGCAATGCACTGATATGTCCTCTGATAGGAATCTAATACCGATTATGTAATAGCAATGCATAGCCATTTTATCTTAATAAAAAAACTTAAGAGTAAAAAGTAAAGTACGACGTCACAATATACTAGCATGTCTCTGCCCTGCGGAAACTTGTATAAAAAGTTAAAATGCTGTAATAACGGAAGGATATTTCTCAGGACAGTGATAGTATTGAATTGATCAACATGGATTAAACAGGATTTAATGTATATGTTACTTACATCCTTCTCTTTTACGTCGATCTGATGAGCTGTTGGGCCATGTCTAGATATATTCAGAGTGTCACGAAATACAGTGATGCTCGATAATATAACAATCTGGATGACCAAAGTGACTATCAATGAGAATAAGACAACTCTTTTCCAGCATTTCCATTCTGAACGCTGAAATTCGAACAAATAGATCATTATTATATTAATATATTGAAAAGAATTTTCTCATAATATTTCAAACATCTCAGAAGCTTGGGGTCGAAAACAGAAATTTCGCAGTTAGAAATTCCTTGATCGATTGTTGTAGCTTTGGATATCATAGACAGGGATGGTGGGTCGGGTTATTTTACATAGAATTAATTAGAAGTAAATGCTTATTAATCCAAGTTCTTTTTAGAAAGGTTTTAAATATATTTAGATACCATTTTATACATGATTAATAAAAGTATTTTTATTTCCAACAATTTTTGACTCCTGCATTCGCATTGAAATTCATTTAGATTTTGATAAAACCTCCGGAATTCAGATGGTGCAAAGATAACATTTAGGATAATACTAATCCCTACTCACGTAACAGGCCATGGTGTTCTTGTGTCCGTGTAGGCTCTCATTTGACCCAATAAAATATTTCTTCTGTAATCTTCAAAACCGTTATGGAGAATGAGCAGTCATGATCACTTACTGTATGGCCAATCATAAGTTTAAGATCATGTACTTAAAGTTTACCAGAGTCCAATAAATGAATAAAGGGTTTAATATAAGACCGTATTCAGGTTCTGTTGAATGAACTATTTTTCATTTAATATACTCTATAAATACAGGCATTCTAAATTGAGATAATAATAGGAATTTGATCGGATAATCCGTTTTAAATCCAAATACAAGGTGTGTTCAATGACTACTGATACAAGTGCTCTCGTTTTGAAATTTCTTGTTTGTGAGGGAATCTAGATGGAATCAAGATTAAACGCAATATGTGCGGATCTATGTATTAATGGTACTTTTAATATTTCCACTACTGGAACAAAACGAGCCAATCCTACAACTATCCGCAAGATAGATATGGACTTAAAAAGGCGATGATTAAATGTAAAACTGCTCCGGATACCCATTTATTCTACATTTAACTTCAAGAGTTATAAGAATAAATTCATATATTCAATCAGTATAGAACTGTATATATGAATATATATAACCGCTGAACGCCGAACAGCGTCCACAAAAAAAGTTGGAGACTGTATTGCGGCATAGAAATGAGGCATTTGTATCAGTATTTATTGAACGATCCCCTTGCAAAGTGGCGTTTCTAAGGCAAATGGTCAATCTACTTTAAATCCATTGAATAATTATGTTAAGGATTTTAGCCCAGGACTCAATGCAGTATTGAACACGTAATCCCAAGAATGGGTTATTGCCAAACCCAGAAAACAACGTATGAGTTCAAGCAAAATCTTCCAAATGTTTTATGCACTAAAAAGTCCCAAAGATCACACCGGAATAGCCTGACAACGGTAAAGTCAGATACCGTTGTCACAAATGGCGGACATAACCGTCGAATCAACTGTTTAATCACTTGGTCCTCATTTCATGGGATTTCATCGTCAATAATTCTGTGCATGTATTAAGCTCTTGTGATAATGTATCATATGAAATCCCATTTTCGATCGAATTGGGTCGTGAATCGCTACAATATATAGCGTCTTCGATATCGTCAATGCCCTACAGTGGCTCAAACAAGAGCGTCTCTTGCGAGTCCTGAAAACAAATATAAGCAATACATTTCTTACCCATCATAGCAATGACATAGAAAGAGGCTATAAGAACTAGCAACCTTGACTTGAAAGGTGTATATGCACGTAACCGTCCGCTAAATATCTATTGTACAACTAACAATTACGTTACCGTCCATAGAATTCATATGTAGTCGTCTAACGACATTGCGTTTGAAACCTTATTATTTACAATATACACCACGTTCCTGTTGTGGATTTGTCATGTTATGGCTTGTTTAAACACAATTTACTTACAGTTATTAGTTTGAGTGGCTCTGAGGCACATATACTGAGAAAACACGAGAATGGACTAAAAATTATGAACTTGGATATCTCAGTCGGTAAGTTTACAGCTTATATTCTGCTTCTAGTAAACCACCTGGGAGATTTGACCCAGTCTTTATAACCATCCATATATACGTCACCGAATGGAACTAGTTTAAAAGGAACTCTTATCTGTGAATCTTGCCTACAGGCGAGAAAGAGGACATGCTGTCCATAGACCAAGGGAAGAGTAATAGTAAGCTGTATATAGAAGAGACAGGTCCACAAGTAAGATTGACTTGAAAAACTTTTCAAAAAATTTTAGTCTTGGGACTAATTCTCCTTACTGGTATCAAATTGTATTCCCAAATCTCTCCAAAATCTTCTTCAAAGTGTTTTTCAAACTTATATCATTGTTATTTTCAAATCTTTATCTTAAAACTGCATATAATACTGCATATAGTTTTAGTTTTTTAGTTTAAAATAGTTTATTTTTGTGTCACTGATATTACAATATACATATAAAATACATAATTAAAACACTTTTTTGTAACATCAACAGCCGGTGCCGACTTATGAGACACAGTATACAATATATCTGAGTGTCACCCATTACTACCCCCAATGGACAGCTTGGGTCAACATTCATAAAGACCGACATATAATGTCTCTGGTAAAGATGTATATATTAATAACCAATGATATAAATTCACAACTCTGATTAATCAGTTTGGCATAAATAAGCAGTTCATGAGACTTATGACTCATATTGTCAACCATTACATTAAGTATAATAATAATAAATATATATATATTGCACTAAATGAGGGTAGCATGTTGCATATGGTCAAAAATTACAATAAATACAAATATTGCACTAAATGTGAATTGTATCATGCATATGGTTGAAGACTGATATAACAATAAAAACATATATTGCACTTAATGTGAGTAGCATTTCAACATGGTAATATGGTCAAATATTACAATAAATATTAATTTTGCACTAAATGTGAAATACACAATGCATATAAAACAACAACTATGGATATCTGCAATTGCCTGGCAAGCTGAAAGTGATTTGGTTGGTTAATACAGAAATTGTCACTGGTGGAGGTCAAGGAGGTCAGCAGTGACCAACCAGATCACTTGCTAAAAATGTACCTTTTTTCTGGATAATGAACTTGCCAAGCAATTGCAGATTATCATAAATTCTCACTTTTAGACAGCATTATTCACTCTATATCATCTGACTGGGTTTCAATCTTAGGTAAGAGCTACAAACTATCAATTTTCTATTAACTGCCCATTGCTTTTTGGAAATGAAACACTAAATATTGTTGAAATCTCCATCTTACAAGTGGTCTAAGTCAGACTTGTACACCTGTCTCTTCTATATACAGCTTACTATTACTTTTCCCTTGGCCTATGATGCTGTCTTTCCCATCCGCCATTTTTTGTTATCGTTACCGCAAAATTTTGCAAATCGCCTTGACGTAACCGTCATGCTATAACACCGTGATAACACAAGGTCGAGACGGAAAGGCTGCCACAGGATACGATGATGACAAGGACCATGGTTCAGGGAAAGATCTCCTGAAGTCAATATCTGATCTTAACATTAATAATTGCATAGCAATCGGTGATATCGGTTACAAGTCTTAATTAGAATGACTTGATGCAAACGTACTCTCAATGGAGTACAGAGTGTACCTTATGCCTTGGTCACATTTGCTCCGATTTTCACTACAGTACGGCGCTCGGTCGATTGAGTATTTTGTTCAAAATTGAATACAATATTGAGCTAAACACTCAGTCGACCGGGCGCCGGCCGATGGATCGGAGCAAATGTGTCCCAGGCATTACTGTTTACATTTTAATCTGCCTAGTACATTCAACTTACATTAAGGTAGACTGCTTACTGAGTTATTCAATTGGTCTTCTTTGCTCCAGACCAATCAGGAACAAGAGTTTCAAGTTTTTAACACTTAAAAGACACACTACCCTACCACGTGACCACGTTTAAAAGGGAAACAGGGTACAGCTAAGTTGCAAATGGAGGACGTGGGTTTAATTCCATATTTCTGAACGTAAAATACATTTTACATTTATTTCTAGTATTCTACCAGACATAGAATTGATTCATCGAGCAGTTTGTAAAATATTGTTGGCAAAAAACCACTATAGGCAAAGATAGATAATAGTGGGCGCAGTGAAGCAAAACCCAATGCAATACACGATACATTTCAGTAAATCTATCAACGTACAGGGAGCATGTAAGTTTCCCTTCAAAAATGTTACATTGATATGTAACAAAAAAACCAGTTAACTGTTATTTAAACTACGTGTCATCATGTTATATGTGGATACGTTTTCCAGTATGTTATTCAACTGTATTTTTGTGAATTAATTGTTTTTCTAAAATCTTAAGATGCAAAAAACGTCGTCCCAGAAATGTATCTTTACTTTGCCGTAAGGCATAACATATTGTGAAACATTTTTCCTCTTGTCACAAACAGGATAATGTTTGTTTCGAGGTGTCTTGTGATGAGCGTTTCATGATTAAATGCAAAATCACTGGAGCAGATACCATCCAAAAACATCTGACATCCAACACGTCATCTAAGACTACATCGATCTGGTATTAGTTTATTTTACAATAATAGAGAAATACGATGTCAAATCAGCGCTACAGCAAATCGTGAAGAACAAAATGCTCTCAAGTCGTGGCATGATGGTATTTTGAACAAAATATTTTAAATGATCGGTTTTTGAGAAGGGTAGTGAATTAGACCATTCAAGGGGTTATATAAATCTACAAAATAATGTTTACTTTATTTGGATTAAATAACAATTGATGACACCTCAAAGCATCAACAGGCGGCCTTTTTAGCATTATTTTCGCTGTTGGCAACGTAAATGTACATGAGATCGGGACATAGTATGTCTGTATAATCAGCTTACTTCCTCGCTCCCTGTCTTATTGAGCAATTTACATTCCTTGTACCCTGTATTGATCAACTTTTGCAACTGTGTACCGTGTACTATGACATATCAAATATTTTAAAATTTAAAACGATATTATTTACATTCTTTCTTCAACTATCATATAACTTGGAACATGGACTTCACTATCGCACCACTGAAGTTCAGCGAATAGCAATATTGACTCACTCCGAGCACCAAACGTATTAACCTTTTGACTAAGCAGTCGAAATACTCAAAAGCGACGTGGTTGAAAGCCAAAAAATTCGCGCATGCGCTATCGAGGTAGGGTAGTGTGAAAGACTGGAGTGAAAATCAACTGATAAAATCAATTGAGAGGCTAATGCAAAAACTATACACAATGATGATTATACAATATGATCCAATGGACCAATACTTGAGTAGATCTAACAAACTTAAATTGTATTACTTAATGACCATATTTTGCCTTTGACCAATTTAAAAAAAATTAAAAGCGTTCATATAAGACAATTTGAACTGTAGCCGTTACGCAATTGTGACGTCATAAATGCACATGTTCCATTTAATAAATTGTGAAACTTTAGTGGGATTCCGATCATTTATATTTCAAAGGTTATCCCAATGTCAACGAACCGTGTAAAGGGTTATATATTAAACTATATATTATATATTTAACTTTAAAAATGTTAGATCCCATCACAGTTTTGAAGGAAAAATAATATCACTGAAATGCGAATAAAAAATACTTCAAAATG